ATTTAACTCAAAATACTTTAAAATATTCTTACTCTATAACCATCATCATGTGTCAGCTCTCCTAATACATTTATGTTAACTGAATACAAAAGAAACGTGAAATAAATATAACCAGGAGGGATGATCAAATCTAATTTTGATACATTAGTGTCATATGCTGTACATGTTACAATAGCAGCCAGACTTTAAACTAAGCTGCAGGCTATACTGAAATTTCCAAATGGCAGATTGTTCTAAGTGATACCAAGTATAATTGAAGTAATAAACGATAGTAAAAGCAAAGCACACTGTCAGGAAGAATTTAAGTATTTACTTTTTAAAATTAAATGAGTTAGGTTTGGAAAGGCAAGACAAGTGAAATAATGCAGGGCTCAATTTACTGAAAATTCCTTTTATTTATCTGTTACATTAACCCTTGAACTCTTGCCAAAATTACTGTAATTTCTAATACCCACTTACCTAAAGGAGACAGAAAAAAGCTATTATATTTTCTTCTGAAGAGCTAGCCCCAACTTTTTTCTTCTTCAAAAACTGAAGTGTTTATTACAAAAAGAACAAAAGGAGCAAAGAGATATGAAATAATGGCTTTATGCAGCTACTTTTGTCCATTTAATGTTAGCAGCACTACTGCCTACAGCATGCACCTTCTAGATGAATCTTTCACAATTTGTCTCAATAAGAATGGTGTGTTAGGGGTTTTGTTTGGTTTGGTTTGGGTTTTTAGCAATATGTGTATCTGTAACTGAAAAAAATACTGTTCTAATAATTCACATCTATAAACCTTCAAGTTTCCAATACATGTTAGCAATACAATAAAAAAACATAATTACTGGGAGCTGTAATGATTTTATGTGGTTATGATCATGTCATGCACAACTCAGAATTGTGTAATATACCAAAAGCTCAAGATTAATTAGTATTCTAACCATTAACAACATGACTACTTTTTATTTATATATACTGTGTGTATAAAATTCTCACTTGCAATGCCTTCACTCCTTTAGGAAGTTTTTCCTAAGGAAGGAGGAACTAGACTGGTGATAGCTCATTTATGTGTCTCTACAACCTTTCTCATTCTGTGAATTGAGTGTTCACATTATTTAGTTCTCATATTCACTGCAAGCTTGTTCTTGTAAGGTTATTGTAAATACTTTTTACTCTAACCTTTAATTGTAACAAAATCAGAATGGATTGCATTATCAGCATTAGACTTTTAATTTTGTATTTGCAAATTAAATAGTTATTTTATGTATGTATTTCAATCTTAAGTTCCATTACACAATCAGAAGTTTTTCACTGGTTCTTGAATTCATGTCTTTTTTTGCTCTTGTTCATATAGTCAGAAACAAATGCTTCAGAGGTATCAAGACACTTAAAAGTTTAATTTACTACTCTCTAAGACTGATGGAAAATCGTTTTTAAAATGGCTTAGCCCCTGAAACAGCAGAATCTTGATTTTACAGTGGCTCAACTGGCAGGAAGAAGTTTTGTTTTAATTTAATTTTGTTTCCATTTATAAGATGAACCTATCATGTACCTCTAGGCACATTTACAATATAAAAACCAGCAGCCATTTGAAGACAACTACTGCAAGTTTGCTTGTTTTTCTCCCATTGAATAAAACAGACAAAAGTCCCATGAAAGACCTGTAGAGAAGCTCAAATCCCAAGTTTCTCTGAAGGCCACAAACAGTCCATGTTAGCACTCACATGGCTCTCAAATAATTTTGGTACTGTGTGTGAGCTGATTTCATAAAATACAATCCTTTTGCTGATATGTTCAGTCCAAGCACCATAAATAGTTGCAGAAATAGTAAATGAATTAAGACTGTTTTCCTACTCATGTCTCTTGGTAGCACTTGCTGATTTATCCCAAGATGTAAACTTCAGCTAATGTTTCTTTCAAGTTTAGGATGAATTTCTTAACATCTCTCTTTGCTGCTGGGTCCTTGATATCTAATACTTCTTCCCACAAAGTCTTTACTTGCTAAGTGGGAGCACTAAAAGTCTTACTACTCTGTATCCTTTATTTAACATATCATCATTAAATATACACAAAATGAACAGCTTTTAAACGTTATTAGATTTGATTGGAATGGGCCAAAAACTGTTAGGGAAGGGAGAAGAAACAGGGATGGAGGCTCACAAGCCTCTGTTCTTGGGAAAATATGCTGAAAAAGAACAAAATCAACACACTGAAAAGAAACACACAGAGAAATAAAGTAGCTTGATTTAACAGTCAACAGTAGCTGAGCCACAAATACAATCTCAATCTCAATCTCAATATGTAGATCATTTCTACACTCTACATACCCATACAGACTTCAAATACTCCAAATCACTGATGAGTGAGACATTGGTGAAGCAGGAGAGAAACAGGTTTGGAGCAAGCTGGAATTTTGAAGAAGCCCAGCTGACACAATTTTCACAAGCTGAGTCACAGGAAGGCTGGACCAGCCCTGAACTTTGCCTGGCAAGAACAGCTCTATGTAGATGGAGGGTGCTCTGTAGTGGTGTATCCCTCTCTGCCCCCTTGGACTTAGAAAAGCTTGTTAGGCCTTGGCCTTGACAAACAGCTCATGGGCTAAGCTCCTCTTTGGTGTATCAGAAACACTGCCTGGTCCCAGGAGCTTGTGCTATCTAATGAGCTCCTGTTTTTTAATGAACAACCTTGGAAGGTTCTTTTTCTTGCACGAATAGCAGTCCAAGTAGAACTGGTAATCGAAGTTGTAGTCAAACTATCAAAGAAAGTTACCAACCCGAATTGTGGATAGAATGGAAAATTCCTGTGACTAAATTCAACTCTCTTGCAGCCCTATAAACAGTGGTTGGAAGTGAGACCCTTTGAGCTCTCCTGGCTGCAGCCAGCAATCTCCGAGTGGGACACCCTGCAGAGGCAGCAAACTCTCAAGGATTGCTGCCAAATGCCACCAATGGAGCCTGGGCTGATACTCCTGCTGCTCAAGGACCAACCCCTTCACTTGTTGAGAAGATGCAAACGCATCTGACGTGAGTGGTCCACTGAACTCAAGGAGAATTTTTTACAGGCATATACCTCATACATACTCCTTTAGATCTGTGTGCATGCAAGTGTAAATGTGCCACAACTGTACTATGAATGTTGCTCTCAGATTAAGTACTTTATATGTGTGAGTAAGTTAGGCCTACAGGTGAGTTTCTCTTGTGCTATAGTAAATTCTATAGAACCTTTTGTTAAAATGTTTAAATTAAGCTATCGATGTTAAGTGCTGTTAAGTTTACATGCTGGAAAAAGCTTTAAGCCTAAATTGTTGCTCAAGTCCGGGGCTGAGTTTGGCAAGGGGATCCACTCTGAACCTTGTGACTCACTGGGAGGATCTTCCTCATTGCTTTTTATCCTTACCCTTTCCCATCCTTACCCTTTTTTCATCCCTGCCTCCCCACAGACCATACTTGGTTGATTTTAGACTGATTGATTGATTTTACGTTTTAGTCCGACTTTTCTCTGTGTGCTTTAAGCATCCATCAGCAGTAGACTGAACCTTGCCAATGAACAGTGTCACACTTTTATTTGAATATTACACCTGCTTTTGCCACTGCCTTTGCTGGTCATTCTTTGAGCTACCTAAAACACTCCTTCATGACATGCTCCTGGAAACAGACATGAGATCTTGCCCCTGTGTTCAACTGAAGTCTACATAATTTTCAAATTATTCACTATTAATTAATTTTCATTATCAACTATTTTTGACCCATCTTCCCCCTTTTCAACACTTGGTAATAATCTAATTCAAACAGATTATAAACAAACATTGTAAGGTTAATTACAAGCTGTGTTTTATAAAACTGGGTTTTTGTTTAAAAAATAAAGAAGCCATTCAACTTAAACAGACTCCCCCCCACATTCTTCTAGACTAAAACAGTAGCAACAGTCGCAATTTTAAAATTAGTTATTTTTGCTATTAATCATTTCTCTAAATCATTTAACAACCTTAGTATTACCCTGACTCTACTTCAGGAAATAAAGAACAGAAAGGATGCAGCATAATAGGCACACAAGCAAAAGCATTTTTAATTAAAAAATCCCACCAAACCAACCTGAGATGGAACAGTGAGAAGTTAGATTTCATAGTTAGTCTATAATAAGAACAATAATATTTTTTCTTCAAGTTGAACACAAAGAAAAAGAAGTCATTAATAATTGAAGCTTGCCAGAGGCATGGCTATTTCTCTCTTTACTAACTGTCTCCCATCTAATTTAATTACAAGTATTAAAGTCCATGCTGAGGTCAACCAGCTTCAGTTCCTCCAATATTACACTTCAACCAGTGCTCATTAACGTGTCTAGTGAATGGATTAGCACATCTGAAGACGTATGTATGCAAGATGGGGGGACAGTCTGAGGATAGCTAATTGTTCATTTATAGTAGGACACATGTTCAAGACTGTAACTTATTATCACTAATGCGGAATTTATTAAATTCTAAAGAAAAAAAATACCAATACAGAAAAATTTATTTTTCTTAATGCAGCTATAAGAGATCATATCGCTGTTGAGAACCTGTGCCTCCTCCAGGACAATACACCTTAGATAAAATAAACATCGTCTTCATATTTTTAACTTTTTTTTTAAAGGGAGAATTATGTTAATAACCTGCACATGACCCTTAGGTGAATAAAAAGTCATCTCAGAAAGCACTCACCACATATTTCTTAATGGGCATCTAGGGTTTCAAAAGTACTAAGATATCATTCAGATGTAATACTTTTTCTTCTGCACCAGCCATTACTTTCCTGCACTTTTCATATGTTCTTGCCAACAATTTCAATGATCGGAAAAATCACCAGTATGGTAAAATTAGAAATTGGCAGAGAATATACCAACTTAGCAGGTACAGATGTTATGATATTTTATGTTTTTTTGTTGTTGTGTTGGATTTTTTTAAAAAGTTACTGGATTTTATTTGACTCTAATTTCTCTAGGTTTATTATAAAGAGAACACTTTATTCAGAAACACCTACCTTTTTTGTTAAAGAGTCATCTGAATCAGAAGGCATTCTTGTTGACACATGGAACATGACTTCCACTGTTGAGGTAGCAAAATATGGAGTGGTCAATCCAGTGCTTTTGTTTTTTTGCAGTCCTCCCATAAAGCCACAATGGTTTGTGAGATTTACCTAGAAATAAAGACCAGGAAACTTTACCCCCAAAAAAATTATCAGGTAATAAATACGCTCTTTATACTTTTAGATGCACTTTTAACTTAACTTTAAAAGTGAAGATCCTTTTCCCAACAGTATTGTTACACTTGATTTCTAAAAGAGCTCAGACTTGCTGAGTAGACTGTGATCTAACAAAAAGGTGCACACCATTCTATATTCTAATGGTGCACTAGCATTCTATATTCCACGGTCACCACAAAAGCTACTGGAAATATGAGGTTAGAAGAAAGGAAAGATTGTGTAACTAATATTTACTGCATTATTCCCTGATCATTTGAGAGAAGTCACTTACATGTGCTTTCTCAATTTTTTAAAATTCTCTGATACTACATCAACCTTGACCTGAGCTCTGGAAAAACTCTGTGTAACAGCCAGGGAATTTATTACCTTCCATATATTTTTTTTAAGAATTTTTCATTCTGTGAATATTAAAAAAAATTCACAGGAAACTAACTGACAATTTGTAAATAAGCTTTTAAGTCTTAGATCAATGGGAAATAGTCTGACACTGAAGTAACTAAGCATGTTAAATGTGCTGCTTTGCCTCTAAAACAGTGACTACAAAATGTTTTTCAGATGTGAATACATTTAATCTCTGCCTGCATGGGATATGTTTGTTTTCTTGATACAAAAGGATGCAGAATTTAATGTTAAAATGTTAAAATATTAGTTGTCTCATTATGGACTATTAATCCAAACTAGCAACTCTTTAAACTAGCTAATACTGCCTAAGAGAATTAAACCACTAAAGAAGGATATTTTATGGTACTAGTTTTGTTTTTTTTCCTCCTGAATGTGGGAAAAAACATCTATGCTCATGAAAGTCAGCAGACTTGTAGCTGTTTTCCTCTGTTCCTGTGGGAAAGTCAGAGTCATTATCCACACAGTTAATCTGGTAGTGTCCTTTTATACCTAAGGAGTAAAGAAATACAAAGAACAAATAAGATTGACACTCATGTGGACACTCCTGATGAGCACAAGCTGCAAGAGGAGCAAAAAACCTGCAGCTTCCTATACAGCCAACCAGGACCAAAGCCATTCCTGTATTCTGTGCAACAGTGCCAAATGGAACTCTACAGTGGTAATTAATCCTGTGCATCTGAAAGAAAGATGGAAGAAAGGAAATCCTTATGACAGTATTGAACAAGTGACTAAAGAGCTGCAGGCCCACATAGATGATGGGGTAGATCACAATATCTGACATCTGGAAGAGAAGTAGAGTGGAGTGTGTGAACTGTGATACATGCCTGCAGGCAGGAAGAGGAGAGTATGTGAGAAACTGCTTCTCTGTACTTTTTGAAATTCCCAATTTAAGCAAAACTCAAACTTCAATGGACTTTACACTTTACAAGCTTACAGGGAAATCAAGATGCCTCCTAATCAGTCGGTGAAAGCCAAGTACAGGACTGCACATTAAAGAATTATCTTTGCCTGCACAGACTCTCTTCAGTTGTTGAGAGCTTGAATTTAAATGGCTAGCAATGCTAATGAAACTAAACCAGGAATTCTTCTCTAAACTCCATTTTTAAACCGGTGTATTTCAGTACTTGTGAGAAATGCTGAAGAGCCAAAGACTTGTAATATACAAAGATACTGGTAATTGCCTTTGTAAAACAACCTAGAATAAAAACATTGAATAAATACCTCCCAGCCAAGACCAGCTACAAAATCCTCATAGGCTTGACTTCCCCCAGTATTCGTAAGAATGGAGTGTTTATCTTCCTGTCCCTCAGCAACATAAAACACTGCAATCTTGTGTGTCTCTCGGCTGTAAAACAGAATGGTCAATGCATGACAGTGCCTTAACCAATATGAAATGAAAATATGCAAACAGTACACACAGAGCATGGCTTTTAAAGCATAAAAAATGCATAGTGGAAATACAATAGAATTATATGGCTTCTTTTTGGATTTTTCCTATATTTCCATTTCCTCATTCAGTCCTTTCTAGTGTCATCTTCTCTAGAGCCTGAAGTTTTGCTATACATGAGCAGCATTTACCCCTTCCATCACTTCTAAGATGCAGGGTGGTGCTGCCTGTACCAACTACTAATTGAATAGGTGGATTTTTGACATGGGCAAAACCTGTAATGTGGGCATTATCCACACTGCACTGCCCATTAACAACAGCACCCTCTGAACATCGTGAAAATGCACCTTGTCCAACTGAATGAAGCATTTTTACATATTTTTCAAAGATCATAATCATTTAAATGTCTTCTGTTGACAGGCTATTCTTAGACTTTGGAACAAATGGAGATGGTTTCTCACACTTCTACAACTTCCACTGGGTTTTGTTTCAACTTCTACAAAAATAAGTCAGTTTTCAATTCTGTGCGACAATTCTAACTAAAACTCCATGACTTCAAATACTGGGACCATTTCAAACAGCTAAACAATCAATCAAAACTTAAAATGAGAAGGCTTTGATATATCAAAGTTTTAAAAGAATTAAATGTTATGCATACACATATGCTTATAATTATAAGGTGTTTTGAAATTTGTTTATCTCATGATATTTTACGTGCAGAATTTGACACTACAAATAAAATTGATGCAACTTCAGTATAACAGAAAAAACTACAGTACTTTGCAAAATACATTAATAATTTAAAAAACTATTTAAAAAGTCAGCTCAACTCTCACATCTATGCAATTAGAGCCATTTGAGTAAAAGCACACTTAAAACAAGTAAGTAGGCAGTCATTAAAAGAATTTACCATTGTCTTGAGTCCAAATTTCTGAGTTCTCGAAGTAACTTCTCATTTTTCTTCAGGAGATGAAAGCTCCTTCTAAATAGAGAAATTTGTAACTCTTTTATTACCTCTTCACTTATGGATACAGAACAGTACAACAATGGTACAACAACATATCCAGGTCCACTCAGGAACAGTCAACAAATACTTCTGCCTTTTCAACAGTCCTTTCTTAACATATGAAAATCAAGACATCTTAAAAAAAAATATACAAGCAATTTTGCTTACTCCAGCAAATCTACATTCATTACAGCCCTGAGTATAACCTTTATTTCCTTCCACTTTCTTCTGTCAACCCCTTGGATCTGACTGTGTGATCCATTTCTTCTCTACAGAAGAACCATAAAATACAGATGTTTACTGACAAAAGACACTCCCATTAGTCTACTGTAGTAGGGAGTGGATGCATTCAACACAGAACTTTTGCTACCCTGAACTGCAGAGCAGAATTTAGCTCAGTAATAACCCAGCCAGCTGTAACAATTTAAACAAAAAACGAAACCAATATGTTAGAGAAAGAAAGGCAGTTTTCATGTCTTTTCAACTGTGCTTAAGATGTTTCCCACAAAACACTGTGGAATTAAGAGCAGTCCTGTTCAAAACCAGACTGCCTTGAGGAATTAAAGACCCAAATAAGAAGGGTTGTAATACCAACGTTTTGTCTGATTCCAGTGATACCTCGGTGACGCTGATTATTTTTGTTTTACTGAATATCCATTTCCCTTCATAGTAGGAAAATATATTAATAATTCTAATATGGAATTTGAAAGCAGTGGCAGAAGACAATTTCAGAAAGACCCATAAATTCTAGGATGCTAATATTTGTAATATTTGTACATACCCCCATGTATATGCAGACATGCACCTAACCACACCCACACAAAAACAATAATGTTAAGAGACATTACTTCTGTAATTGTTCTCTCCTGTTCTAAACAATATTCAAACAGTACTCAAGCACAGACAATGTTGAAATAAATAGTAGGGGACACATCTTTCTCATTAGCTAATACACAGGCAAGGCTTTGAGGCTGCATGCAAGCATGCTTTTAGCAGACAAAGCAGCAGGACGCTGTCCAGCAACACAATAGATGAGAATATGACACTTTCTGAGTATTATTCTGACATTGAAAGGTAATGATTTTTGCAGCAACATACATGGGAAGCAAAGGGAATACAAGATTCCTTCAATTTGACTTGCAACACTTTCTAAGGAAAGACTATGAATCACAATAAACGCAACAGATATCTCCTTTCTGTCTCTCTAAATGACAGGCTGAAAAGCAGAAGAAAGCTGCCATTTAGGTCTTAGATGCACATCCCCTCTCTTTTGTTAGCTGGCCTGTAATATTTTTGGGTTAACAAACTCTATTATGAAGGTAAGAACAGCACAGTTCCTTAAAAAAAGTTCTTAAAATATGAGTAGTTTTACCTTTTATCCCATGAATTCATTCCTAGTATACTGAGAAGTAATCTACAGTAGTAAAATGCTGACTGTGGCTTTTGTGAGGTTGGCTCGTCCTGCTCCATAGCCCTCATATTTACATCATTGAAATGCTTTTCAACGAACTCTCTCTCTTCTGTGTGCTGTTTCAGAATTGCATTGATGACATCGTTCTCCTGCTTTTCTGAGATGCAGACTGGTTGAGGAGCAGGGATGTTGAGTGAAACACCAGTTCTCTGTAAGCATTCAGGGCTTGTAACACCTAAATACTGCAGCAGCTCATCAAGAGCGTCTTCTTCATCCCTAATTGTATCCCATGTTGGTACAGTGTCTCTAAATTTCCTTTTAACTTGGAGTGTAATTCCATCTCTTGCAGATACATCCTCCACATGCTCAAAAGATGAAAGAGTATCTTCTGGTTTATCTTGCTGAGATAATGAAAGTGCAAAAGATGTTTGTTGTGAAGATCCACATAAAGATGATGGTCCATACAAAATGGCCGAATCCCACGAGTATTTGCCAGACAGATCACGCACTATAATTCTAACATTTGAATTAGCTGATGCAAGTCCAGCAGACAGTCCTCCCCCAGGCATGTCATCTTCTGCTTGGATTTGTATGCAAGACACCAGGGAAGTATTGTTTAATACAAAGAATTGAAGATTTGGGTTCTCAAAAAGTTCAGGAGAAAGCTCAGGACTTTCACTGTATGGATTGTCATTGTTTTCACACACTTGACTGGTCAGCATGGCAGGACCTCCGCTCATAGGATAGTGGCCCAAGTGGTTGACCAGATGTGTTATCACAGTACGAGCAGCCACAGAAATTAATCCTTGTTGCATGTGAGTTTTCACTGCAAGAGAAAGAGCACAGGTTTTAAAAGAAGAGTTCAGAAAAACAACACTGAGATTTATGTGTTTCTTTTGGTCTCTTCCTGAGAGAATGAGCGCTGCAAGCTGAGGATGCATGCAACTCAGTAACAGAAAAATATGTATGTTGGTCACCATTGGTCTTGTATATAAACAGCATGAAAAATCCTAAAACAGTTAAAGAAGCATCTCCACTATTTTACAGCCATGTCTCTATCTACAGATTATACTTCCTTTGCCATAGCTTTGCTATCAGCACTGTTCTTCTAAAATACATGATTTCTTATCTAGTGAAAATAAATCTTGAATTGCTGTTGAAGTAGAGATCATAACTGTGCTGCAAGATGTCCATTCCAACTGCAGTGTATTTTTATATTTATACACATCATTACACTGAGAAATACAAAGGAAGATAGATGCACAAAAGATCTAATCCATCTTAATTTCCCTGGGGAGCATATAGCTGTAGGTCAGCTTGAGAATAGCACTGGACAATTTTAAGTACAAAATCAAAGACCAGGCTGTCTATATTGAACATGATCTAACATTATCAAAATTTTTAAAAATGAAATCCCATGCCACAACTGCATTTTAAGAAGCTTCAGGTTAGAAAACCTTGGGAGGGAGAAAGAAAAGTTAATTGTGCCCATCTTATGTGAAATTCATCCTGTGACATGCACTGGTATTTCAACATGGTTTTTGCCACCTCCTTCTTTGCTGCATGCCCTTCCACTTGCATGTTATGTCATCTAAATTTAAAAAAAAGGTATTTTTAATGTTTATATCACACCCTGATAACAAAGTACTATATTGTTACTAAATTATTCTTATCAAGTCAATACTCTACATGAATACATGAGCTGGACCAAGTGACTCTTTCAGGCAGAGAACCATCAACTGGTTCAGGGGACCCACTGAAGAACCCATACACAAAAATATTACATTGCAGAATAAAACTGGTGGAAGAAGGAACAAGATCAAAATGGCAAAGTACTTGTTTTCTGTATCCCTTCTCTTGTAACTGGGCACAGATGCCCTGAATTTGGGATTTACAAAGGGAAGATTAAAAATCTGTACTCCTCAGGATAATATAACATATTTTAAATTACACTGAACATTGAAAACTGCTGCAAACACTTCCCATCTTCTTTCTCACCAAAATCCATCAAACCAGAATGTTCTGAATGATGCTATTTTTCATTCAGTATTTACTGAGAATATGGAACCTCTTGGGCATAGAAGTAAAATATAATGAATTAATCTCCCTTTATGTTTGATATTCATAAGCTGCAAAACCTAATGTTTAATAAACAAATTTCTCAGTTTCAGACGTCTTAATTGATTTAACTGGAAAAATAAAGGCAAATTTGTCATGTGTACTGACTGCCATTACAGATCTTCAGTTTCTGAAGATGGATGCATTCAGCAACTGCAAAAATAAACAGGTAGTATGTATTTGCCTTTTTTTTTTTTCCCCAAAAGGTTTGGGTACAGCATGTAGGAGATGTTTGGGATTCTGGCTATTTCTTTAGGAAGCACTACATCTGAACTGCAAATAGGGAAACATTTTGTCCAGTTAATAGCTGGCAAAATCAATATAACATTTATACAATTCTAAAACTCATATCTACTCAAGTATTTTAATAAATTAATGCCTTGAGAATTAATACAAGTAAATTAGAGATATTTTTATCATGTATGGCGTTCTTGAGGTTTAAAATTTACAAATACAAAAACATTCAGTGATGCTGAATTACGTGTCCAGATACTGGCAGCATACAAGGAAATTAAGTTATAGTGCCATCTGCTGAAACATAAGAAGGAACTGGAAGGAGATTTTATAAAAAACAAAGAGAAAATAAGCTGGGTGCTTGGAGAATCATTTATCAGCACATTATTGACTAGCACCTGGACAATGCAGAGGGTGGCCCCATCTTTATCAGGATATTTATACCAAGTATTTAGCACTTGCCACTGCAGAGATAAATAAGGTAATACTTTGCTCAGGTTCCCAGGAGCAGAGACACACAGGCTTTCCAGATACCTGAAGTCCCACTCTATAAAGGTTAAATGCCTCCTGTTAAGTTCTGCTGAGAAACCTGAAGAAATAAGTACCTTCTAGCTATTACTATTACTGTTGTGTGCCAAACCCTGAAGATCTCAAACTGACCATGGTTGTTTTGTGCCTCTGTGTGTCTTAGGAGCCTAAAGGACACATGGGAAAGGAAAGGTGACACAGTGAGACAAAGAAGGGAACAATTAATTTAAATTTGAAAGATCCATTCTCAGTCCTAATACAGCCTTGCCCTGAAAACTTTGCACTTGAATTAAAATCAAAGATCTGTCATTGTTTCTTTTATAAAATTTGAACACTACATCTAAGTCTTCTCTCAGAATACAGAGCTGCTGATCTAAAAATGACACAGAAAGCTTTAATTAGAAGTATCAAGAGAAGTATACTGAAAAGTAGACTGTAAGATGCAACCTGTTATGTTGAAATAAAATAAAGTAACCTTGAAACATTTTTGCCACATAGAAAATCTGATTTTGATGATGGTTTCCCCAGGAATAAAAAAGGAAAAAATCCCAAGCCTAGTAATGCATTTTGAAATTATGAAAATTTTAAATTAATTTTGCAACTTAATTTATTCCTAGAAGCACATCTCTTCAATCAGGAATAACTGAACATTCAATATATTAAAACCTTAAAATGAGTATCTAAATCATGCTCTTTGTTTCTGGAGGGCAAATGAAAATATGCAATAACGCAAGCCATCAGAGCTTTACCACAAATTCTACAAACTAAGTCATATCTTTACACATTAAGGCAGCCAGCTCACTGCTTTGTTGACCTGTCTTCCTGAGAGAACACATTGCTGCTTTCTTCACAATGGAGCTGCCTCTGGCTTGGGCAATGTAATTTAAATATGTACATGATCATTGGGTAATTTACAAGAAATGTTATACTATTTATTTTTCTCAGTCCTGAAATTACCTCTTTTGTGGAAAGGCTGAAGGTCCATCACTACTAATTTGTATCTGTAGCATGAATGAAGGATTCCTTAAGATGTGCTATTAACTTTTTAATTCAACTTTGGCTGAATAGTTTTAAGCAACTATGGTTATGTAGTAGAAGTAAAAAACAATGACTGAAGGGGGAATTTAACTCTCCTTATAATTTTAGCTGTCTAAAGAATGATGACCTGTACAGACTGATTAATCTCAAATTCAATGGGATGAATCACTCTCTAAAAACACTTATTTTTCTTTCATTATGTTTAGAGGGAGCCTAAGTGTGTCCTGATTAACTTAATTTCCTGTATTTTACCTTAGTTTAAGCAAGTCTCATTCCTTTCTAATTGTTAACTTCAGCTATATAGACATGCAGTAACAGAGAACCCATCTCTAAAATATTCCCCACAAAACACAAACTGTGTTAATCCAGATGCACTATGTACGAAGTATTTTTTAAAAGTGTGCATTTTGTGTCCTTTCAGTAAAATGGCATACAGCAAAGCCTTATATGAAAAGAACTTTATATTTCTACCTTTTAAACAAAAGCTAAGACTAGACATCAGACAGGGAAGGCTTTTTCATTAGAAATTTAAAAATATTAGAAAAAAAAGATCAATCTATGCAAAGATTTTAACATATGTTTGGAGAAATATGAATATTGGGGTAAAAATCAATCAAATAAATAACTGGTAGACCACTGTATCCACGTAAGCTTACTAGAACCTTCCAATCACAACTACCTCTAACAGATTTGAGATCTGTGAAGATCAGCTTTCAAAATGTTTTTGTCTATAAGAAAAAAATTCTCTGTCCCATATGTTTATGGTCCTGAAATGAAACAGAAAATTTCAGAAGTAAGCTAGCAGGTTGTGGCCCTATGCAGTCCAGGTCGGCTTAGGAACATCTAAGCTGGCTAGTTAGGTGCTGTTAATTAGAACAGTGGGTTTGTGTGGCATGGTTTTGGTAGTGTGGGGGTTACAGGGGGGCTTCTCTGAAAAGCTGCCAGAAGTCTCCCCGGTGTCTGATGAAGGCAATGTCAGCCAGCTCCAAGTCAGACCAAGCTGATCAGCGATAGAAGTAATGCCTATGGAATAACAGAGTTAAGAAGGAAAAAGAAATATTGGGCAAAAGGAAATTTCAGCCAGAAAAGAGCAGAGTGAGAATATGTGAAAGCAACAACTCTGCAGGCACCAAGGTGAGTAAAGAAGGAGAGGCAGGAGGTGCTCCAGCCACTGGAGCCGAGATTCCCTGCAGCCTCTGGTGCAGACCATGGTGAGACAGGGTGTGCCCCTCCCTGCAGCCATTGGGGGATGATGGTACAGATAAGCACCTGCAGCCACTGGGACCCCATGCTAGAGCAGGTGGGTGCCCAAAGGAGGCTGTGATCCTGTGGGAAGTCCACACTGTACCAGGCTCCTCCTGGCAGGAACTCTGGTGCTGTGGAGAGAGGAGCCCATGCTGGAGCAGGCTTGTGGAGGAGCAGGTTTGGAGAAGGACTTGTGACTCAATGAAGGACCTATGCTGGAGCCTAGAGGACTGAGCCATATGAAGGGGACCCAGAGTAAAGCATTCATGAAGAACTGCAGTTTGTGGGAAGGACTTGTGTTGTGGAAGTCTCCTGTTGAAGTAGAGATCATAACTGTGCTGCAAGATGTCCATTCCAACTGCAGTGAGGAATGTGTGAGGGGCCCCATGCTGGAGCAGGGGAAGAGAATGAGGAGTCCTTCCCCTGTGGAGGAAGGAGCATCAGAGACAATGTGTGGTGAAGTGACTGCAGTCCCCCAATCCCCATCCCCCTGCACCACTAGGGCCAAGGAGGAGGTAAGGATTTACAATGAAGTTAAGGCCAGAAAGGAGGGAGGGGTAGGGGTATGCTGTTTGGAAGACTTGGTCTTATTTCTCATTATCCTATCCTGATTTGCTTGGTAATAAATTCAATTAATTTCCCTAAGTCAAATCTATTTTGCCCATGACAGTGATTGGTGAATGATCTCTTCCTGTCTTTATCTCAACTCATGAGCCTTTCCTTATATTTTCTCTCCCCTGCATAGATGAGGAGGAGAATAATGGAGCAGCATTGGTGGGCAGCTGGCATCCAGCCAGGGTTAAACCATCACCATCACCATTTGTATACCTGTACTGTATCAACAGGTATACAAATGGTGATGGTTTAACCCTGGCTGGGTGCCAGCTGCATCTGGTTAGAACCAGAGGAACAGTTCATCAGCCTTCACATAGACAAGCCCAGGGATTCTTCAGATGGATATATGAAAGCATCACAGACTTGCTGCCAGCAAGTTCTGATGATGCAATAAAAGCTTCCTACTGGTGTCCTTACTGAGAGCTGCTAAAAGTTTATTCTGGTTTAAATGTAACAGTTTAATATACTTAATACCTAATTTTAAAGTTATTCTTTGTATATCCCATACTAAAATCTACCACTTTACCAGCTACAGAAAGCAGAACAAGGACAATTTTACAGATAATCCCAGGTTAAGAGCTTCTTTGTCACTAACAGAACTTGTGAAGTTACTGAAAAAGAGAAGCCAATAATCATCTCTCTTGACATATGCCTGTTCCCAGAGGATTTAAGAAACCTTTGTCCTGCTGTTTATTGCATGGCTTGCTCCACACCTCTCAGTAGATACTGTCTCCACTACACAGCTGTGTCACTCTAAGTCCTGAATCTTCTTGGTCTCATACCACATTATGCTGTGGCTAAGTATTTACAAAACTTGAGATGGATCTGACCTTGAACAATGGAGGCATAACAGGGTAAGTCAATCACATCCATTAAAGCACCCTGTCTTATGAATTCTGTCATTTCAGCACTTGCAGCTTTGCTTGTGGCCTAAGGAAAGAGTTTCACAATTCCTACCCTGTTTTTGTAGAACTTCCCTGAATTCCCTGTAACTTCTGCCCTGCTCATTTCCATTCCTTCAAGAAAAATACTATGATAGCCCTTTTACTCTACTGAAAGATGCTGACCCATTGGCATTCTGTTCTGCTGCCCGCTTGTACTAATTGACCCTCGGTCTTGACAGAGACCCAGACTGGTTGTTACCCACTAGTTTTACTCCTCTCACTCCTCCAACAATGCCAGGGAGAACAGATGCTGTGCAACTGGTCAAGCACTGCCAATTTTATTCTCTGCCTGGCAATGGGGACTAGAAGTGCCAGGGTTGCAGAACCAGGGTTGCCTTATAATGCTGTAGGTCTGCCAACTAAATTTCACAGTCTAACTTACAATTCCAGAGCCCTGAAACTTAATTTATCTGGAGAGATAAAAGGAACATCTGAAATTACTTTTATTAAGAAATTTAACAAGAAATCATAAAAGAAAAGATCATGGTTGGAAATGCAAAATGAAGATATTGATGCTAAGGCTTTGTGCAACTGTATTCATTTAAAGAGAAATCTATTCAGGGTTGTCTTTTCAGATTGTCAAATTAAAAAAGCCACACAGCATTTGCTTCTAACCCATAATTACAGATTATTACGGAATACAAAAGATGCCAGGCATAAAAAGCTACTACAATTCACTACACTGTAATAGAACATGCAGTGGAAGTAAATTTTGGCAAATGCTTTAAATATTAGCTTTACATAATATGTATAGGTGAGACTGTAATTAGGACAGAATGAATCCTTCGAAGCCTCTTTCATTCTGACCCTGCAGATGATTACTTTTTACTAATAAGGCCACAGCCATTTGACGAAAAGCCAACTATAGTACCTTGCTTCATTCTTCACTAAATTTAATAATTACAGCTCCTCCTGCCAGTAGTTCTCAGATCAGTCTTGTTCAATCCAATACTGAGCTTATTAGGGGACAGCTCTATGTTTAGAATTCTTTGGCCAAAAAAGTACTTGACGATGATGAAGCATGCCTTAGACAAGGGCACAATGATTAGCCATTTTCTCTACATAAAAAACAGCACGTAGTCACTACAGACCACAAAATCACCTGCTGTTAGCACACAGCTGCTACAAAGAACTGCTGCATTTATCTGGTTCTTAATACCCTTAAAAAAGCCTAAATGGAACAACTTAATACAGAGGCAGAATAGCACTACACAGAGTTGCTCGTATCTTAATCTCATCTTTTTCAATTTTCTTCCCTATGTAACCATTTGATATTTACTAGATACACTGCATAATACATGATAGTCCTCTGTGGCTTAGATTCTTGATTCTTTATTTTTGAATTGTGAAGGAAATGCTAATTCCCATGTCTCCTAAGGTTCTAACCAGATGAGAGAAAATTTCTCTCTTTTTAAAAAATCTGTGGTTTTAAGCAGTGTAAAAAGAGATCAACAAAAAATTATGATAGGCTAAAAATATTCATGGAAAGCATTCAATACTGCAATGTCAAACAGGAACAAAAATCCAAAATTCTTCTAGAAAAAGGAGCAAAATAAGGAAAAATCAAATTAATTTACTGAAGGTAAAATGAAAAACAACATTCATCCATGTTGCAGTACTCAACACTTCTGCTGATACACAGAGCACAGAAGAATCCATATCCTATTGATCTTGGTGTTGTTCAGAACATACTTATTTCAGTTAATCAAATGGTAATTGCTCAAAAATTACATTTGCTCATTCCATACTAATGGTTCTTACCTAGTGTCTACATATAGCTGAAAACCTGTGCTGTAGACCAACACTTAAATACTGAAAACCCAGACAAATTTTTTTTGAAAGAAAATGTATTTAGGCAATTAGACAAACCTTCAGTGACTGGCTGAAGTTTAGAAGACCTCTCAGAGTCTGGAGAATGCAGTGGTTCTGGTTCCTTTAAGCTCTCTAAATGCATAAAAGGATCATAATCCATACATGCCAGATCAGAAAGGCTTAGAGGAAAATATTTTGGGTTGCTAAAACACTGAGACCCATAGACACATCCATGCAGAACCTAGAAAGAAACCAGAATTTCATTACATTAACTACTGAAATTTATAGTTTTATAAGAAATCAAGTTTATTTTTATTTGCATTTCAAGAATCTATTTGTTACAAGGCAGGCATGATGAAACATTGGAAAATTTTAGATGCTTAATGTTTACAGAAACAAACTCTGGTCTGCCAAGAAAATTATTACCACCAAAGTGGAATTTAACAATAATGAAACAAAACTCACAAAACAATCATTAAGCCACCTTTATTTTTAGATCTCCTATCTTCTTTAATTACATATGCTAGGTCTAAGCTGCTAGAGGTTTTAATCCCCTTCCCTTGCAAAAAGGATAAAAACCCCTTTCTCCTGAGCTCCTAAAGACAGTAATTGTAACTTACTGTCTAACAAAAGTGCTTTTGCTTTTCTCATTGCTAAATGAAACTGCTTGATATATAAAAGTTACATCCTTTTGTATTAAATGTACAGCTAGTATTCTACAATACAAGCATCTGCAATCTATATGACATACAAAAAAAAGGCTTGGTTAACCATCCAAAACGTAAACCAAAATCTACTATTCCAAATATACCAAAGGTCAAGCTGATGCAGTGAAACATGCAAGAACTGAGCCAATCTATATTTCAGGAGTAGAATGGAGGTCAGTTTACAGAAAACGTTTGCCTTCATTTCCATGGAAACTGACACTACCTTCATACATAGAAATTCTTAATTAATGAGCAAAGAAACATGTACCTTATATATACAATTAAGAACGGATCTTTCAGTCTTATCATTTTCTGCTCCTGTAGTGTGAAGAGGCTGCAGCAAAGTCTTCAGTGGCAAGGCCATTATCCAATCCAATAAGCACAGAAGTAAAGAAACCACCAACTGGAAAAAACACTTTCCATTACAAATCAATTAAGCCAGCACCTGCTATTTCATATTTATCCCTTTATTTTATTTCTCTGTTTTGCCTTTTTTTCCAATTCAGTAAAGTCAACCTTCTGCAGCAATGGCAGCTCCCCCTTGTTAACCACTGAACCTTCAAAAACTATGGCATCAGTAAAAACTGGCTACAGAGGTATTTAACAAAGGCCATCCACTCAACAGTTTCTCATCAGGGTATGACTGTGAGCAGATACTATACTTAAGAGGATACCCACAGTTTTCAAAATTGATTTGTAGGCTGTTGTTTTTAAAATGACAGATAACACAGGTCCAAATTAAGGCTGATGTGCCATTTTGCACATATATTTCACAGTAAAGTGAATCAAGGATTACACAAAATGGAACCAATTCCCCCGTATTTAGTGCTTTATAAATAATACATAATGTCCTTTACAACATATCAATAATGTTATGCAGCACCATATCATATGTTATCATCTGAAAGAAATCCAACTGCTTCCTGTATTGTAGGTTACTCAGTTAGCAAAAGAATCAACTCCCTCTTGGGATGTTTTGAAAGACTCTGGAAGAGAATTAGATTAAGACCCAAATCCACACCAAATCATCAGTAACTTACAGACCAAATAAATGTTTTTGATTTTTAAAACTCCATTGTGGAAGAGAAGACAATTCAGATAAATATCTGCAAGATTCTCTAAAATATTTCCCAAGGTAAACAGAAGTTTTTAAAAAAATCAATTTACCTAATTTACTAGTTTCACATAATGCATTCCAAGTTTGTCCTTCAAAAGTATAATAAACCTAATCATGAAGGGTACTGAGTTGTTTTATTTTTAACCAATTCTTTTGAAACCCATTAGGACTACATTTGTCAAAACAGGTAAGACAATTTTTATTTGGTATTTCATGTACAATTGACAGTAGTTCATGGGAAAACTTGGTCAATTATGGAAAGCATCCTCAAGTGGAAAAGTGGGTAGCTTGGCATATGAGTGTAGACTACAATAGCCCCTGACTTCTTGCAAACAGAGACAGAAGATGAAACAGAGCTCTGAAGACCAAAATGAACAACAGATGAAGTCCAGCTCCTTGTGGGAATGGTAGCCCAGAAGGATGGAGCTGTCAGAAACAAACTGCACCAAAATGCCAAAATTTGAATGACCTAATAGGCCCACAGCAAAACTAATTCAGAAGAGACACAGCTTTCAGGAGGCAGAAAGTACTAGAAATGAAAAATACTTACTCTCTTGTCCTGCTCATAAGAGGAAGCTTCTGTACTGGGTAGCAGATGTGTAATAGTTGCTATCAGAATCTGGGGAAATTTAGCATATTTCTTTTAAAATACAACCTAAATATTTAAGTTTAAAATAATTTTTTAAGCAGGTAAATCTAACATGATACTGGATTCACAATTAAATTCTATTACAATTATTTTGAAACAAGTTACAATATTCCTTAACAATTTTTTAAAATAAAAACACTTTTAACTGAGTTTTGCAGAATACATTGAAGGAGTATGTTCTGTTTGACTGACGCAGGTGCATTAAGGACAATGAAATTACACAGCTACCTCAAATATTCAGGCATAAAAAGAACATGACTCAACACACTTATAGGATGTGGGAAGAAATCTCATGCTGGTTTGTGTATGATGCTATCTGAGCTACATTGTTTCTTAAAACTACTAGAATTTGTATACACCCTGTCTCTATTTGATCAAAAATATGTCTCCAGAAGAGCACAGAAATGCTTGCTGTATCTCTTAAGAAGCTTTCACATGAAAAGAACCTAGGTGCCCTCTGTGGCTCAGACTCACAGAGGCCATAGTCTACCTCCTTGTTATGGGAAGCATATTCAAAATATTATTTTTGTTTTGTACTGAAACTCTTTCATGGATATGCAAAATAAAGTTGCAGATCCATATTTTAAGCAATCATTTTCTTCCTGAACTTCAATAAACATGCTTGAAGATATCTGGTATTAAGAAAAAAATTGTACTTTACTGACAACATTTTCATGACACTTTTTCTCAGAGAAAAAACAGGCAGGACATAGACATATTACATGTCTATACTGGAGTCCGGAAGTTATGTGTGCTGCAATTCCTTACTGTTAGTGTTAAGTAAGATTATGTTTATACTAATTCAATGTTTTGCAAAACATAATTGTCAATATTCAAGTGTTTAACTTTAGGGTAACACATTGTAGTGATTAATTTAAAATAATTGAAAATTTCAATTAAAAAAAATTACTTACTTGTATTATTCTTAATGGTGAATCAGCCTGATATAGTTGAAGCCTATGTACATAATGTATCAGCATGTTCAGCATACTGCAGGCAACTTGGGCTACTGTTTTATTTGGAAACTGGAAAAGAGAACACAGCACAGTAACAATGACAAAATGGTTTCGTGTAAGAGTACATTAGGTGGTAGGGTGGTCACAAATTTCACTGGTAGTTTTATACATACAGTTCCTTAAGTATCTATTTACCAGAGGAACAGAATTAAATTTTACAAAACTCAAAAAGAACTATTTTATATTCATAAACTATTTTATATTCATAAACAAATGTTAGCAGCTAACATCAAAGTTTTGGGGCAGACATGCAGTTAGATGCACACCAGTAAAGGAAGAGGTGTCTCCTAACTGGAATAGTAGAATATCATGAAGCCAGGAAGAAAGAACTAATTTCTTATTATCTTGATGATTATTAATATTAATGAATCACTGCAAAGCCCCCCCAAGGATCCAATTCTGAAATCAGAGGTCTTTGCTGAGAATCAAGGCAGGTGATGAGCCACATGCCCAAACCACAGCCTGTAGTACTAAACATGAGCTGAACTGTTCTCTCTGCTAGTGACTGCAGTGCCCAGCACATGTTGGAATGGAAATGAATTCACCTTGGCTTCTGTGCTTAACTCTGCTCTTCTTTTAAAGGCAGGAGAAGGCTGCTGCTCTGCAGCCTGCCTTCCACAGTTACTGTGCTGGTCAAAGCAGAAGGGAACACATTTGTACAACTAATTCCCACTCTTAGGGAGGATGCACACTCTGTTCTACACTCCTAAGTGGGAAAACATAGAAATTAAGAGACGTGTTTCCCTAAATTGTTGATGCACAAGACGTGTAATTGAGATTTTTACCTTCACTGCACTTGCTTTAAAACATTAAGGTGTGCAGTAAATGACAAGGACAAAGTTAATATTACAAGTGAATTCCTGCATTAGTAACAACATATTTTACTCGTTTCAATCTCACTACATTCAGCAGTGAAGCTGTCACAGGTATATGCTGCAAGATGGCTCTCTGCTTCTGAACTCAGAAAAGGGCAATTATGCTGTAAAAACACTTAGATGTAATTTCTTGGCTTCATAGTCCTTTTTCTTACTCAGACCACTTCTGTTAACCCTTCAGGGAGGGATGTATCTCACAAAACTGAAAAAACCCAAAGCTTTAAGAAAGCTGAAATGCCTGGGTAATGAAGCCTGAGTAGAAAATAAAGGTTTTAGAATAAAAGTATTGAATGGCAAAAAACTTAAACTGAAAATACACTGGAAGAAGACTCTGTTCTGAGTCAGTGCTTCTTATCAAAGCAGAGCTGTCAATTTTTACATTTAAAGTCTTGAAAAGAAATGGTACAAGCACAAGGAAAAATCTGGAGTACAAAGCTTTAATTACCATTTTTTATTTGTGTTATTTATGTAAGCAAAAGGAAAAACTATGAGTGGCTCTTGCAAGTCATCCAGGGAGGTGGAAACCTGAGTACACAATGGGTAGTTAATTCTTTCCCTGTTTCTCACTTTCATGTTATTGTTGACTTTTATCTCAAAAGAGTAAACATCTCATATCTCCAAATCTTCACAAACTTTATGACAAGACTATCATTACTTTTTTATCCCTCATGAGACAGCCTCTCTCCATGTTGTGAAAGTGCTTGGTAAGAGCAGGGTATAGATTCTAACGCTCAAGCTTGAGTGGCAACCAAAAAAAAGCAAAATAAAACAAAAAAAACCCCAAAAACCAAACTGAAAGCATGGCAATTTGATTACAGAACTTGAGATCAAATCCAGATTGCTCAAAACATCCTAACAAGCTAGCAAGAGAACCCCAAATCACTGGAGAAGAAAAATGGGGTTCACAAATTGGTGTAGCTTAATACAGAGATCCTGACCACTGAAAGTAAGAAAAAAATACTTGAGAAAAAGACCTGGAGACTTTTCAGGGTCACTGATTAATTGACCATTCACTACTTAAAAACAGAAAGCATTTTTTTCTTACATTTTAATGGTTCTTTTTTTAAAGAGGCTCTAAAATAAAGATGAATGAGTAATTTTTTATTATTACTGGCTAGTTTACATAAATCAGTTAACCTCTTTTTTTCTCTGGTTGAAGAGAACTCTTTTTTTAATTTAATAAAGGAACAAAAGTAAGCGGAGACATAAATTTCACATAAAGGATAAAGTGTATAAAGTAATGAATATGAATAAATTTAAAATCTAATCTTGCACACAATTTTTTTATTATTCATGGGAAAAGCATCAGGGAGGAAGTTTTGATCAAGAATATGGGGGTTGGCTGAAATAGATCAAATCCTTCATGTGCTTCAGAGAGCTGTCCTAGCATGGTCAATATATCACATTTCAAAAGAATGCTGTCACTAGGGTCAAGTTAATTTCCTCTCAGCAGTTCTTGCAGTGCTGTGTTGTGGATTTGGAATGAGAATGGTGTTGATAACACACCAATGTTTTGCTTTTTGCTAAATTCTGTTTATCAAAACTCAAGGATTTTTTTTTCTCTTGTCTCATGCTGTACCTGTGAGAAGGTGAGCAAAAGAAACTGGGTGGGAACATGGCTGGGATGGGTGACCCAAACTGACCAAAGGGATATTCCACACTGTAGGACATCATTCCCAGTACATAAACTGGGGGAATTATCTGGAAAGGGGGTTGGTCGGGGTTAGGAAAAGGATGTCGGTCAGCGGGTGGTGAGAAAATTATTGTGATCACTTGGGTTTTCTTTCCTTTCTCTTATTATTGCTATCATTTACCATTATTGCACTGTTTACTTTGCTTTTGATTATTAAACTGTTGTCATCTCAACATAAAAGTTTTGTCTTGATTCTCCTTGCCATTGCACTACAGAGGGTGGGAAGAAAGATTGAGCGAGTGGCTGCATGGTGCTCAACTTCCAGCTGGGCTTAAACCACAACAAACACTCAGGCACCTTTGAACAGACAGTTCTGAGAGCTGTGGGTTCTGGAAAGACATTTTCCTGACCTCAAGCAGCCTCACTGACTACATGTCAGGTAATGAAACAATTCACCCCTTTCAAGTCAGATATTTGGTTTTGACTTCTTTTACAAGAACCTTCAGAGTGGCCATGGAAACACTTGTATGATGCCATAAACATTCCACCTGCCATTCTTTGTCTCTGGAAAATGTCCTATGTTATAAAGCATAAGAATTCACCACTTTTATATTTAGTAGCATAAATTGTGGACATAATTTTTGAGAACTCACTCGATGGGGGGAAAAAAAGATACCAGTGAACTGGCACTTTTCCTGTTTCCCAACTCTCAAAGTTTTTCTTGGAAATGTAGTCTTACCATAAGGTTAATTTTTGTAAGGGTCCCATCTTTCTGGATGTTAAATGAGGAATTTAACTTGTCCATACTTGAAAATAACCTATTGTTTAGCATTCATTTAACTAGATTTATACAAGACAATTTTGTGATGTATCTGCAGCATTTTTGAGAGAAGCAGAATAAAATCATATGTCTGGATGGCTGGTTAGGATCTTTTGTGCTCAAGCTCCAGCAGAGGTTAATGTAGACAGAGTGGTACTGCACACAGAAGCACTAGCTTCATCCAAAGCCAGCTGCTGAACTGCAGCTCTGAATATGCTTCTGGTATTTCAAAAATAAGCATGTAATTGCTGCTAACATTTCTATATAATATTATTTGTTCAATTGAACTTATCAGTAAGTTGGACTAGGCCTATAGCTCCCTACCCATTCATTTCTCCTGAAAATAAGAAAATTATCCATTCTGGGAGTTCCAACCTCTGACTACTTGGTAGCCTGGAGATTGCTAAGGTAACAAATTAGAGCTAATTTATTTCTCCCATGACAAATTAATGAACTTTTCATTTCGTTATTAAACTCAATTGTGAATGTATACCATTGCTCAGAACTAGAAAAAAAGACAATGTACACTGGATGGTTTTGCCAACACAAAGAAAAGCAAAGTAGAAATATAAAGATCTTTGTTTTCTCATTCAAAAAGTAATTTATGCTTAATATAAATGAGATACAAATAATTGGTTTAATAAATACGTCAGAGAAAAAGAACATAAATTACTATGAATTTCAGGATTAAAAATAGTTCAAATATTGATAAATTGGAGCAGCAAGATAAAACATCATTTGCCTTATACCAAACTTGCACAGGAACTTGATAAAATGCAAAAGTTAAGCATTATTAAAAACCAAGGGGAAAACACTGGAAGAGGGTATTAGTGGAGCTGCAAAGAATGAATGTGATTTTGCAAAACAGGAAATTGCAAATTAGAGTCTAATACTAAAAGGCCTGCAGCTACCTTATACAAAGACTCAAATCCTGCTTCACAGGATGTGAGCAGCTGATCTGCTAAGATATTTTTCAGATTCCCATTGCTTAAAAGAAAATAATAATCCCCAACATCCGACAGAAGTCATGTGTAACAGGTGTACATTTCAATTTTTATTAATCTGTATATAAAGAAAGACTAGACTATTCATAGAATTTTGATGCAAACAAAAAGCACATAGAATGGTTCTGAAGATAAACTGGAAAACATTTTAGAAGTTGAAACTACTGCTCAGAAACATGCAAATTTGAAAACTGCTTAAAAACAAAAAGATTTTTACTAATATTCTAATTATGCTATAAAATAAGAACAAATGCAAAAAGATTTAAAATAGTAGGAAAACAGAAACACTCATCAAGCAAAAATATAGCCAAAAATATGCAGCTCTTGGAATAAGCATATAAAGGGACTCTGCCCCAGCAAATTAAACATTTCTGGTGCTTCCATGCATATGGTATAAGTACTCTGCATTTCTCACTAAATATCTAGCCAGCCTAAGAAGCACTATTGCACGATTCACTGACTCGAACTCAGAAGTGAACATGCACAGAATGTTGTGAGAGTATGTGGTAGGTTAGAAGAGCTAGTGATTTTGTAAGAATAAAGATCTACTGTCTTATCCTCCCAGCACATCATTCTCTCCAAACTTAAAGAAGGGTAAAGAACTTTTGACATTTCAGAGATCCACTCATTAAATTGAGTTCTCTCTTTTGTAAGGACGGCAAATGAGACTGCAAAGTAAAGATCCTAAAATGTCATTAAGACTTGGAAAATGCAAAGTATCTTTACACATAAAGGCAACATACATTGTAAAAATTTAATTCTTTTACCTTTAAAGAAACACATATCACATTCAATGCTTCCTTGATCTGAGGATGATGTGATTCATGGACTAGCTCCTCACAGATCCAAATTCCAAGGCTACAAAGAGCAACACATCTGCAAAACAATGTTGGAGGACAAGTTGTTGGGGAATGTGTAATTTTTATGATTCATTAATCATAAAATCTTTTAAAATCATATATCTTTTTTGATAAAGACATATAACAACAAATATGTTTTTAATATTTCCAAAACAATTGTACAAAAACCTTTCTAGTGCTGTAAAATATTTTAAAATGATCAAGAAATCCAAAGTATGCTGATGAAGGCAGAGGAAAGGGCAGAGGAAGCACCCATCTGAGCAATTGAAAAATACAAAAGACATCAAGAACTCCTGCATTTCTATGTGTGTCTTGATTAAAAATATTATCTGGAATCAACATATGAGAAATTCTTATATTTTCTTAAGACAAAGCAAAAATTGGGGTGGGAGCTTCCTCCTTCCTAACACAAGAGGTTTCTCATATTTAGAGCTTCTGAGACACAGAGATGAGAGAGGAATGTTACTCTCTCATGGACATTCACATTGTTTTAGATGGACAATAAACAAGGATGAATAGAGAAGGGGTACATGAATCCTAGAGTCAGTATACATATTGTGATTAGTACATTAACTTTTGTTGTTTCTTCATAGAAATAGAAAAAAAGCGTAAAGGTAAAGAGTATTTAGATAAATGTGTTCAAATCAGCAGATGGATGAAATTTGTTCAGAAATGTTAAGGAGCTAGCTTAAGCCATCTCTGACCCATTAGTTATTTTGTTCAGGAAGAGAGTCTACAAATATTTTGGAAACAACTTCAGGATTCAAAATCCTGGATAAAATTGGAGAGCAATCCAAAATTGAAAACAAGAAAGCTGGTCATGTAACCTGCAATGCACTACATCTGGGAAGGAAAAACTGTAAGCAAGAAAAGAAACAGAAGTGGCTGTGATGCCTGTGCTGTAGAAAAAGGATTTTAAGGCTACATAGAATCACGAAAATGCTTACAGACAGCAAAAATACATACAAGACTTAATAGTACATTATAGTGTAAACCCACCCTATTTTGTATATTGTCACTGAAAGAAAAATTGCAAAGTGGAGAGTGTTATGCCTTTTAGAAAGCAGTTTTATAACACGAAAAATTAAGTTAATGCGATCTCAGGATATTCCCTCTTTTTCCTCTGTTGAGAAATATTATCAGCTCACATGAAGAAAGAGGTAAGTGGGCTGATGAAAACTGCTCTTGGTTTTCCAAGAAATGGTTTAAAGGTTCAATAAGCTGATTTTTCCAGAATTGTAGCTTTTCAGATATGTACTTCTAGTATTTTTAAGTGACAATATATTAGTTGAACATATATATTCACTCTTTCCAAATATATAAGGCACACAAATGCACTCTTCCTTGGTAGGCATTAGAGATTGCTGTTCAAATCCCATACACAGGACTGTGTAACTGAATGCTTCTGAGGATGGGTATGGAGGAATAAAATCATAAGCAAATTAAGAAACAGGAAAGAAAACTGGTAATAATCCTCTCCAGAGTTATTTATTTGGTGAAGATGCTTAGGTTTAAGCATCAGAGCAACCATTCCTAGTTTAATGCTTAGCTCAGTTTTTTCTGCATCTTGTCCATACCATAATAAGGGCTCATGTACATTGGATTATTTCTGTTTTTCAAATTAAATAATGTGATCTAATAAAAAAAAAAAACTAGCCCTCCCTCATAGTCTTGTCCTAATCAAAGTAAAGAATGCCTCTCTAGTCCAGAAAATCCCCGAGCTGAACACCAGAGTAGGCTGGGAAAGCTTATTCTCTTACCCTTATTTACACCCTTTCCTATCAGCCACTATCACAGAAAGAATACTGGACCAGACCAGCCCAGTTTGTCCATTTAATATCTCTATTACAAACAATTTCAATTTCACATCATGGACCACAGTTTTGACAGTGGTGAAGAAAACCATTAATAAAATGCAACAAAGTTTTACTTTAAGCTCTCTAATATATTCACCACCAAACAGCCTAATAAAGAAAGAACCTATTAATGTAGAAGCTCTTTTTGTATGGCTTACCGTGCAGGACCAGATGGTTCCTCTCTTGCCGAGCTTAACACAGTTTTAATTATGAGTTCCTAAAATGAAGAGGAAAAATTCACTGATTTACACATAATCACAAAAAGCATCAAAATATTATTATAGTGCACACAGGCATATTGCTTAGTTGGATCTCTATGTTATGGTCAGATGAATTGTTTGCTTACCATTACTCCAAATATCAAGCCTGTCCCAGATACTTGTTACTGTGCCACCCCAAGAATATCCTACACGTTACTGTCCTAATTTCTCCTGATGAGCCATGTATCCAATTCAAAGCATTTCCATAAAATATCAAGGGGGGAAAAAAAATAGTAAAGGGCTCCCTGAAGCTATCTTAGGTAGTGCTAAAGGGTATGACAGAATCTTTTACTTTAAGGTTTAAACAAGCACTTTCAAAAAATTGAATTGATTTTAAAAATATTTTCAACTAGTTGCAGACTAAGTGCCTACAGTGCCTTAAGAATGCTGTCAAGAACAAATTTGATTCAATGACAGTGAAAAGTCCCTAAAGCTGTAGGCTGCCCTTAATATAATTCACGTAAACAGCCATTCTACAATAGAAATGAGAAAGAAGGAATTCAAAATCAGTCTCCAAAGGGGAGCAAGGTATTAAGCAGCTCTCAAGTCATCATTTCTCCCCAAACTGACACAGTTTGGAAAACTTAAGGGGAGCCTTTCTTAGACACAAACTGTGCTCTGTGCAGTTTCAGTATACTGTCACATTGCCTAAATCTGTGTCACGACAGACAAGGTAACGACTCCATTAATATTTGCATTTTGAAGAAAAAACATACTGCTGTACAGAACACACTGCTGTGCAGAAATTTTTTAAAGTCTCTAGGAACACAGGCAGATTTCACCAGTTGTGAAATAAATATAATTGTCTTCATAAATTAAATAATGAATCTTAAACCTCTCAGTCTTCTTGTCTCAGCTAATTAAATCTGTGATACCTGCAAATCACCCTAGTGAGAGAAGGCTTGAAAGGGTGAGATAATGTATAATTTTCTTCTACAAACATAAGAAAACACTTTATTGTTAAGTTAATAGCAATTATAATGTATGTTTAGAAGTATAAAGTTTCACAAGACCTTATAGGATCTTGAGTCTTATGATCTATTTGAAATTACTTTCAAAAAATTCTAGGATCTTAAAATCTTAATACTGTCTGCAAAAGCACAATATTAGGCATCTATTTGTTTAATAGAATACTAGCCAAATATTCTTAAAATTCCTACCTTAACATCTGTAAACTGAGACACAGCAATGTCAGGAATATTTGGGTGAAGAGCTGGTAGTTCACGATATAAATTGGGAAAACAGACTAGAGATCCTAAAAGAACTTGTGCTTCAACTCTTGGTGCCTAAAAAAAAAAGGGGGGGGAGAAATATATATTCTTACTGCAATCAGAAAGCTGACATTTTTAGCTTCCTTAAAAGAGAATGATGGCTGAAATTGTATATAGCCATTTCCTTTCTCCTGGAAATTCTGAGCTCCTGCAAAGCTGAATAAACAGAGACCTCAGCTCCTTGGATTTTTACTCATGCACACCCCTGCTCTCATTTTCCAAGACAGTAAAAAGGAGGCAGAAGGATTGTTAGGATTACAGACAAATGACTGAGCTGCTAACTGGGCTCAGGTCCTAGGTTCAGCTAATTGACCAGGATGTGGAAAACTACTAAAAGTGACATGAGGCATTGCTGAACAGGAAAGGCTACAGTGTAAGAAGCTGACAGAGGCTTCAGATAAGTACCTTGAGGGAGACTGGATTTCGTAACTGGTTAGAGAGGGATTGATGGGAGAAACAGTCAAATTTCACAGAGAGTTGGAGGAGACTATGGGGGATTTGAGAGAGTACAATATGCACATCCAACAGCACCTAGGTTACCACATAGTATTACTATATAAGGCTGAACTTGCCTGTGTAACAAAATCAGAAGTGTGTAAAAAAATCCAAATATTGCAAACACTAGCAAATTTGAGTTCTCAAGCCTGATCCTAAAAGTCATTTCATAGCAGAGATATGGGGGAATAAGTACATTTTAAAAATGAAATCATGGTAAAAATAGACATTTACTTTAAAACATCTTCAAGCACAGAAAAATGGCAGTCCCAATTTCTGTAATTCTAAAATAAGATTTTCTGCTTCAACAGTAATTTTTGCATTCCTCACATATTTTCTGGAGAGGCATGTGCAGTACTCTGGAATAAATCATTAACATTATCTGTATTTGATAAACACTACATTGAATTCTGGGATCAATTTACCACCCTAGTCAAAGAAAAACATACTGCTCAGTATTCTCTCAAATTCTTTGTCACCCGTAAATGAGAATTAACTCATGAATACTTACATTGAGGAAAGAAGAAGCAGCCACTCTTCCTGCTGCTACAATAAAATCCATAATAAGCATGGTAGCACCAGGTAAACCAAGTGAAAAGAACTGAGGAGAGCAGTGCTTGATGATTGTATTGACAATATCCTCGCAGAAGGAAAAGGGAAAAAAAGAAGAGTATCAACACGAATCAAATGAAAAATGAAAGAAAAAAGGCAGGTATTTATCAAAAGGAGAAAGTAAAAATGTGAGAAAGAAAACTCATTGTGGCCAGTAGAACACTCATTAATGAGAGAAGAGTAGCACAAAACGATAAATTCCTTAAGTATACTCAGATTAACGTAAGTAAACTTGGTATACTTTATAAATCAATTTAAGCTCCGACAACAGTTCATCTATTGATTTACAGTCAGCTTTTAAGAGTTCTGTAACTGATTAACCATTCATTTGAATAGGTACAGAAAAGATATAGAAAGATAACCAGCTATTATACTTTAACAACTGCTTAATCCTCTCCATCAAGTATTCCCTGACTGTAACTTTAAAAAAGGTATTTAAAGGTATTTGAAAAACCTCCTACATATACCCATATGGAACCAAAATTTGAAGGAAGATAATAAAGTGTTTTGTAACATTTCTGGTATGTAGTTAATCAGCACAGCATATTATGTTCTTGTAGACTTAGTGAGGCACTTTCAAAAATCATTGTACATGCTGCAATTGTTTTCAAAAGTACTTGGAAAAAAGTATAAAATGCTTTAATTGTAAAAAAAATCCCAAGTCTACAGATAGACACCCCTCCCCTTTTCTCCTTTGAATAATTCTCCACTAGTAGTAATATCCAACTAAATAGCAGTATGTCATAGGAGGATCTTCAATGTATCAAGAAAAGCAGCATTAATGGTTGTTACAGGACAGAAACTGGAGGTCTGTCCTATCCATAGTCATCTGTGGAATAATTTTGGACTAATTCTATCCTTCCCAGTTAAAGAAAACAGGGTTGTTTGAACCTTTGATCTACCCATGCCTATAATCATTCCTCAAAAATGTTCACAAACCCAACTTTTTTACACTTCTGCAAACGTTTAAAAAGTATTTAAGCCATATAGTATTTTCAGACTTCTTAATATCAAAACCTATAAAAAAGGTCTACTCCCACTGATTAGATATGCTCTGTACATCTCAGTTTGCTGGTTCCTATACTTGCTGTAGAAACAAAGGCCTCCAATGTAGTGAGCACAATTTACTAACTAAACTGTTGCATCAGGGAGCAAGTAAGAAGAACAGTAGACTTTAGAGAGATCTGCTTCCTTCTCTTTCTTGCATACTTCAATCTGTAACATACAATCAATAAAAAATGAGAGAGTATCTTTTCTGCCCTCATATTTCCTTGAAATGGACAACAAAAAAAGCATTTCTGAATACAACCAAGAACATGAGGATCATTTATCAAAGTTTTCTTTTTAGAAGTATCAGTCACAGCACTAATTTCCAAAACAAAGTTAAATTACTCAGATGAAAATACACTGAGTAATTTTGAGAAGAGTCAGTCATAACATTTATATTATTTTGAATTTCATAATCAACTTACTTGATCAACATGAAGAAGTCCACAGTGCATGATATTGTAGAAATGAGTTAAAAAATCCCTGTTTGGAGAAACATCTTGTCTTCGTTTCATTGTCTTACAAATAAGCTTATAAGCATGTAGCTTTCCTTGTTTGTATTTATCAGTCAGCATTGTTGCCTACAGTTTTAGAACAATATTTATTATTCATAGATTAAAAAATTACATTAAACACTCTTCTACATTTATTTCTGCTTCACAGTTTATTGTTTAAATTTACCTTGAAGAGCCATGGTGTTAGAATTCTCAGTGGTGGAATTAAAACTGGGGGAGATGGTGAAGTTAGGTTGTCTGTTGAAATACCAAGATTGTCTCTTATCTGCAATTATTAAAAACAAAACAGAAAGGGAATTATTTAAGGGAAATATATAAGGCAGTATTTTTTTCTTTTTGAAAATCCTACCCAAACAGGTCAGGTTGTTGAAAACAGTTCAGTTCTTTTACCTTGGCCAGATTCTGCCACAGTTCACACAGATAATCAAAAACCTGGGCATGAATCTCTGGGTCCATTATGCTGTTGACATCTCCCAGAATTCCTAGCATCCTCCTCCACATCACAGTAGCAACATCTGCATGCCATCCTGTAAGTGTTCCCCCAGCCATCACACTGCAACATTCTGAGGGGAATTCACTAGTTTCTGTAATGGAAGGAAAAAAGTACAGTGAGATCTACCTCTCCAGAACTGGAAAAGTTCTGATACAACTATCAAATACACACTCCTCATAAAATGGAATGATCAGGCTTTCAGAATAAGCTATTTTTTACCCATTCAGCCATCTCAACACTGTATATGTTAAGCTTTGTCTGTTATAAACTCTGTAGAGGAAGAACTGTCCTATTTCTTATATTCTTTCATGAAATAACATTTAAGATCACTGCTGGAGCTCTAATACAGATCTGACAGACCTAGTAAGGCCACTCCTCTTGTATGTATTTTCTTACATTCCTTGAGGTCAATGAATCCAGAACCCCACCTGGCTGCTTTCAAGTAAAATTATCTTTCGTCTTTACATTTATCCTAATAATACATAAAGACTATTTTTTTCAGAATCTACTAGGAAAGCATGTTATTGCAAGTCAAAGAGAAAAGTGACTAAACTTGTCTCTAGCTATTGTCCTTTAAACAGTTAATTTGCATGAGTGGAGAGGGAACATTCAGTAACTCAGCACCACAGTCTTAACACACACCTAGCTCTTTCCATACATCAGTGCTATATGAAAAAACATTCTTTTTTAGGTGGAAGATGATTTATCTAGACTGTCCATATAAAGAAACCCTCAGTAGATTATGATGGCTCAAGTCTACTCAAGTCACGCTTAACTATCTAAACAGCCACAAAATACTAGATAATGAGCCAGCTTGAGAGCAGCAGGCATTCAGAATTTTCTTTCCACCCCCTCAGGTGGGTAATTCGTTGGGATCTTCTGAAAATCTTGTAGCCCCCACAGGAATACCAAATCAAAATTAAATCTGAATTCAGCCTAATCACATAGACTCTTCTTTTGAACTTCTGGGTCACTGTGGTAGAGATGCTATTGGTTTCTAGGCTGTAGATTTTCAAGTACAAAGCAAAATGATCTTTCTGTCCATCAGTAGGCTAATAAAGAAAGAGGGTCTGAAATACATAGCAGACACTCTTTTGTTTCCATAAGACCAAATGCGGGAGAAATATTCACATTGCATTTCAAAGAAAATGTATCTCAGAATTCCACAACTAAGATAGCTGACATAATTACAAATTGGTTTAGATATGAAAGGGAGATGAACCAAACTTGTAAGGAAAAATTATAAGATTATAAAATTATGTCTTATTATTTTTACATCAATGATAAAATAGTCCATGGCAGGACCACATGCTAGATTAAGCTGCCACAATTCTCAGCAACTAAAAGAACAATTTTAATATGTGGACTTTAATCCACCACCAAAAATTCCAATGAAATACAGGTTAAAATGCAAAAGGTTTTTGTTTACTTTTAAAAGCAATCACTGTAATTAAATATTTTTGAAGTGTAGATGAAAGAGCCTTGTACAGGACTGTTTACAACTCATGTGATACCAGCTACTTCACTACATTGCATTAGAAAGGAAAAAGAAAGAAAGAAAGAAAGAAAGAACAAGTTTGTATTTTCTATTCCAGATATTGCCTAGGTCATCTGGCGTCTGTAAAACAGAGTGGTGGAGCTTCTCATCCAGCTGCAGATCCTTCTGCTCAATATGATCTGCATGCAGAGTGGCAGGAGAGGGTGTCTGTGATCGGGATCCAAGAGCAGATTGGATTGGAGAAGCACTTTCAGAGCCTGCAAATGTAATTTTTAACAGTTACCTTAAAAAGCCTTTTCTATTTTCTTGAGCTATTGAAATGTTGTCTAAATACAGCATTAACAGAAAACTGAGCTGCTTTTATGTATCAAATCGGGTCAAGAAAAGATCTAAAACAGTAAGCAGATCTCCCTGTGAGTGGTGTTCTGAAAGAAAATGAAGTACATGCAGAGAAACTGAAAGATGAACATCAAAATCAGACAGAGAAGTGGACTAGCAGACCTCTATTTTAGGTCGACATAATTCTAAATGTGGTTGTTTTGCAGCACTTTCAATGTTTTGAAATGTTTTGCAGCTATGAAACATTTTTCAATGTTTTGCAGCTAAACTTCTCATCACATTTCCCTCACCTAAATTTCTCTCTAGCAGAAAGTTTAAGCAAAAATTTTCCTGGAACAAGTGTTTTTTCAGGGTGATAGAGCCATGCAAGTTAATATATAAATAAAAACTCAAATCAGTAACTGATAATCTTCAGTGTTTATCTACTGATTGAGCTGAGAAAATCCACAGGATGGGAAAGTTCTGTATAGTTAGAGGGGTGTTATTTCCCGTAAAACAGGAAATAACAAGTATCTGAATGACAGTGCTACAAAGGCATTTTTCTGTGATAGTCTCTGAGCAACCTCTCTAGGCAATTATGTGGTCTCCACTGTGTGATCTGTGGAGAAGGAGCAAGTAGTTGTATTTTTCTTCTGTACTATCTTATGTTTCACATCCTGAATTTGTCTAAAGATCCTTATAAATAGCTGAGTTTAGCCAGAACAGTCACATGACAGAAAAAAAGAGAATGAATATTCACAAAACTTTTCTACACATCAGCACATGTTAAAATGAAAGAATTCCTATTAATTTTAATTGTTAGATAAATGTAACAGGGACACAAAAATATTATGTGTAAAGTTCAGTATTAGTGATAAAGTGAACTTTAGGGACAGCAATTGAAAAATGAGTCTTTTAAATAGTAATTTTCCCAAATTATCGTGAGAATAATTGAAGAATATTTCTCATTTGAGAGAAGTGTCTTTCTTATAAAGAGAACAAATTGTTTAAAGAACTTGACAGAAAATGTTATCACTGTTGTCAGAATAGAAATTGCAGAAAACAATCTTTATTCTGTTGTTAATCTGCAAAGGTCTCTATCTCCTTTAAATGGCTAAGACAATGAAGCTTTTACTATCAATTTCAATCAAAACCTCTATGCAGGATAGAGGGACACTACTGCTTCCCACACAGACTGCTGTCTTGTGCGACTTGCTACTGACCAGCAGTTTTCCACATGCTTACAGAGACAAACTAAAATACACCCTTCAAAGATGTTCAAAGAAGTATTTTCTTACTTCATTTCCATCCTGCTCATTAGCTGGGGACAGATGAAAGTAGTTCAGAAAAGGAGGAAGAAAGAGTGATGAGGATGAGAGAAATTGAGAGAGAGTGAGATAGAGAGGGAAAGAAAATGAATGAGATGGAAACAGCAGGCAGGGAAGGCAGGGAGCAGAGGAAGGAGGAAAAGAGATCTTCATATGATGGAATAGAATGGACAGAAACAATTATGGAAAATTTGCAGAACTACAGGAGTCTGTCATTAAAAGATACTCCAGCATACGTGGATCCAACCTTGACTGAGACTTCCACAGGTACAACTTGTTCTAGGACTAGTAAACAGCAGACAATAGTCAATTTTATCATTTACTTAGAATATGATGCAATGCCCATATACCAAAACCAAATTATCCTTCCAAAACCCTTCAGATTTAGGAAGAATAGTTTTCTGATCAGCAGAACCACTGAAAACTTGTTTATCATAAGTGTGTTTTGAGGTTGAGTTTCTGCATTGATTTGCTGGCATCTAATATAGTGAAATTCACATTGCAGCTTCCATCATGAGAGTCTGCATATATGCAATTTTCACTAGATAGCTGCCTATCTTTCATAAAACACCAAAGAAAATAACATCCTTTTGTTTTCTTATATGTCAATTTAACAAAAATTAGACAATAGGCTGCAATATTGTTGAGTGCATAGAACAGTCAGATAGACAAAACAATTGCACAAGTATTGTTTCCTCAGGAAACCCAGCAAAATGCATGTGACACACAAGAGCTGCCTCTCTAAAACAGTGGTTCAAGCAAGAAGAGTTAACCACAGAATCTCTCAATAGACAATTCAGTCACTAATTGCAATCTTATCAATTCAATTATAGTGCACACTTGGACAAAAATATCAAACAGTAATGAAGTTATTAACATATAAAGACATACAAACAAACAGAAAAAGAACAGATCTACAGCAAGGACTTTCAACAAGCACACAGCAAATAGAAAAATGAAGAGAACACAAGTCAAGCTGAACATTGTGGAACAAGCTGAACAACAATGTCCATGAAAGCTAATACCATTAGCAGAAGGGCACTTTTAAAAAGTTATGGCAGAGGAAGTAAAGATGTCTTTCCATGTCTCTGAAAATGCAGAGTTTGATTTCTAACAGAGAACATGACACAATATGTAGGTATAAGCTTTCATAGAAATATAGGTAACTGTTGCAACTTGTTACTTGTTACAATTAGGATTGTAACAGGAATGGTAGCATATAACAGCTATGGAACAAGGAGTATGAAAATGACTGTGGGCATCTTTACTTCTCATGTACAAAATCTGGTAAGAGATCATTCTTTCAGATCATCCTCATAGAGAAGCATTCTCTCTTTCACACAGGAGCCCATTCAATTTTGGTTAACTGCATCACTTTTCAGTTATACAAATGCAAAGTGATGTTACATGGCCAAATAAGTAACATTTTGCATAATAAAACCTTTCAGGTTCACAACAGACAATATAAAGAGATATTAAGATGGATGCATATAAAAGAATCCCAAGATACTTCAATATGATACACTGGTTTGAAGGAGCACTATGAAAACCTTCCAAAGCAAAAACAATTCATGAAATTAATTATTTAACTCCCAGTAATAGAAAGACATTTGTAAGAGATCTAGCATACATTGTGATGTAAGAGTTTCGCCTTGGTAATTGTATAGATTTTCTCAGGAAGGGTTTAAAATACATTTAGGACCATGGATAACTAAGTCAGACAAAGGTTTTCCACTTATGTTATTTCACATATTACTTTTCAATAGCAATCAAAAAATAATTGAAATAAGGGAATAATCTTAAATAGAATATAGACTCTTGGCAGAAGCTGGAAGATGCATTCTTCAGGATGGGTGAAAAATTTCTGAAATAAATACTTTTTTTTTTTAAAATCTACTTTACCAGTAATAGTCGCAGCTTCAGCAGACAATGGTTGCTGATTGAGACTACTTGTTTCTGAATCTATGTGGAGTGTAGTTAGACTGGCCACTTCTTGCTCCTCAGCACTTTGTTGCTGTCCTGAAATTGCATCAACGTCAGTAGAAGCTGGCGTCCCTGCCTCAGTGCCAAAGCTGAAATCTGTATGAGAAAAGCATTGTATTAACTTACAGCATAAAATACAGCATAAAAATACCACTAATATGAAAAAAACCCAGAGGCCCAGGACTGCCAAACTAAACAGAAACCTTGAATGTGCATCTTCTATGCTACTAGCACTCTGTTGCAAAATTTAAATAGAATACAACAGCAGAAAGTATTGACTATTATGAATATTCTCCTTCCTGTCATAAATCCATGACTTGATGTCTGCAGAAGACATTCTTGTTGAACATCTGTATTCTGCTTAGTTGTTGTAAGTGCATCTACATCTGAATAACACAAAAATAATAGAATCATACATTAAGGAATTTATTTGTAAAATTTACAAACTGGAAGAAATATTCAAGTTTGTTGTGAAAGCACTAACTTCAAACTAAAAATTTTACAGCAAATGACACTAACAAATGTTATCCTCAACATTAATGAAAAAACTGTCAGGCCAAAATGTAGGTTCAAATGCCATGACTATTTGCATAATGGAGACATACATAAAAATTGTAATTTCTTCCAAAAATTCTACCATGTAAATATTATTTTTATATTCTATAACACATGACGTCATAATTCCTAGCAGCCATAATGACCCCTTCTGTTAAACAAGAGTGGGAATAGATAAATAAACTGAATGAAAAGCATTATGTTAATAAACAAAGCACACTCATTTTAACAAAGCACACTAATTGTACCATGATATTACACTTAATATCTTGATTAATCTATAGCTACACAAAGACCACTGTAAAAATATCATAAGCCTTTCTTCGAGTTTTACGTAATCACTTCCAAAAGAATTAAAACAATTTCCAAAATAAATAAGCTTTAATTTTTATATTTTGTGCAAAACAGGTAGATACGCTCCTGTCATACAGAGATGACAGTATTTCTTTCTAACTTCTGTTCAATTATGTTCTCCTCTTTGCATAGTAGTACTCCCGTGCTCTTTTGTTTTGGTATACTAAAAAAACAATAGCCTCTTGCAATAACCTTTCTTGTTCCATTAACTTGCTAATGATTTCAATGGAAAATCAAAATATTCTCTCTCGACAGAAAATTGCTGGCATACAACTTTATCTGGGGAAGAAAAAATAAAACAACAGATGAAACAAAGGAAATTTGCACTACATTAACCAAAAATGCTATTACTTTCGGAAAAATGTACTTGCTTTCAAATTTGCGGCTTTCATACTGGAAGGCGCTGAAGGAGTCGGAGTGGCTGTCGGAGCTGATGAGGTCACTGCTGCCCGCGCTGGCAGGCGACGTCCACTCGGAAGGCACGCCTGGGTCATCCACGGGACGCATTTGGTTCTGCTTGTTCAATATATCAGGAAGGTCTTTAGGAACTTCCAGGCTGCCAGGGCTGCTTCCTCTTCTTGTCACATTCTAAACATTGAAGATACATAAATTATCTTGCAATCTTGGATGGCTTATTTACATAAAATGGAAAAAGCAATCCCACGTTTGGTGAAATCAGAATGTAACAAACAGTTCTTAAGTACCTAAACCAGAAATTGCCATCATTCTAAATACCAAGACTTTCCAAACCCCCAAATGAGAACCCATGCAGTCACAGAATTTCATAAATACAAGTTTTATTTGCACAATGGATTTTTAGATGTACATTGTAAAAGTCTAGGACTCAGAGTAGCATGGGCCACATGGTAGGTAAGATGTGAGAGAGAAAAATAGTTAAAAAGTATATTACATCTAAATAACTTAAGAAAACTTGTTAACCTTGGTTTCAGACCTAATGGCCTATAGGCCACCATACTATAATCAAAATCTTAATTTATGGAAGGAGCAAATTAATTGACTAATTAATGCATTGATTTTCTTATGATTAAAACACTACTTCAGTACTGGTTTGGAACACAAAGGACCACATATAACAGAAGTAAGGCATGCAGATTTGCTCATTTTTAAGTAAGGTGGTGGTCTATTTGAAGTCTTTCTGTAAGGTATTTTTTTCCACAGAGAGCACTGTTTGCTTGAGAGGGAAGAGATATCAAAGTAGAAATGCCATTTTATGAAACGCCTCGAAATTTGTATGCATTATGAGACTAAAGATGCCTTTCTTTTATATCAGGCCCAGTCAGTTCTGCATTCTTTTACTACTCTACTACTAATTTCAGACTAATGAGTTTTTCATTATATAGTTTTAGTATTCAATAGATAAAGCAATCCAAAATTAATCTTAGTAAGTTGGTACTGTTTTAAGAAGGCATGTCTGTTGTGTGCTAATTGAAAAAAATGAGCAGTAGTTGTGGTAGTCTCAGTATTTACTCAAACTTATCTCAGCTCTTTTCTGTTACCTGAGGAAAGTATCAATTCTCAAAAAAAAAGAGTAATCCCTCCCTTTCTCTCTTCTAGAACCAGCTGTGATGATTTCTGCTTTATTAATTTTCAGACTAAGTTACCTTTCTCGTAGACTACAAGTTAGCATTTTGTTGTGTAACTCAAGCGTTACTAACAAGAATACTTTGTGCCAACAATCAAGTTTCATAAACATGAGTTCATTACAAAAGAGAAAAAAAAGGATACATATGGACAAACTCTGTAGATTCTTTCTTGCCATTTATAAAATATGATGATAAATAAACAATTTTTAATAACTTTGAAGAATGTTCTTCTGTCCCTTATTATCACCAACTTCTCTAATGACAATTTTCTATAGGAGTATGCCTTACAGAGGCATGTCTTCAAATCACCTTGAAAACTTTAAAGCAAAAGGAACTAAACAATTTTGAAACACTATCTTTAAATTGTTACCCATTCTGTTCTTAATTTGCAACTTTTTTTTAGTATATTCTCTTTTGTTACTACTTAATAATCACTTATCTCTTCAAATCAGTTGTAAGCATTCAACAGTAACCAGAAATTCTTAATTTTAAATTGATTAAAACTTCGTATTATGAATGCCATTCCAAACAACATGATGCTTTTGGAAAAGTGTAAGAAGAAGGCAAATGGAAAGTTGATTTTATTAGAAGAGCACTACTTATGAGAAATTATTCAACACTTGGAAGTGAAATTTAAAAAAAGGAAAAAGTTATATATTCGCATAGTTTTGTAGTGTGTTGCAATGACTGTACCTGTAGAGAACAGTACTGAACTACAACATGCTACTTAATTACATACCATGCTGCAGGAATGCAAATGTACATTTAAACTAGTATTCTGAAAGTGTCTATGTACAGGCAGGCATCTTTGCAGGTGCAATTAAGGCTGTTTAATACAATGAGACTATTCATCTGACAGTAACTTCTGCATTGCTTCCACGATGAAGATTTAATAGATATGAAAACACAAATTCTATAAAATGGCAAGAATCTATGCCAAAGGCAAGGCATAATTAAGCAATATTCTTAATTCTGATTCATAAGAACCACAGAAATACATTTTAGTGAACTGATTTATCATGTCATTGACAAGTTCAGACATACATGGAGACTTAAGTATTGAAGTGTAGCAAGTTTAAAGGCTTACCAGTGCATTACCACTGCGGAGTCTCTCAGCTATAAATTCGTCCATGAGGTCAGGAACATTTGTATTGCTACTGTCAATATCACTATCAATAGGGTGCAGCTTTTGACTCATGTCCTCTCTATTAGCTAAAAGCAAATGAACAACCATTTATAGTAAACAGCACACCAAGACATTTTCAAAACAAAATGTAACACATGAAAAAACCTGCTAGTTAACAGAAATTTAAAAATCAAAATTGCCAAACATGCATTTTAAGAATGTTCCTCTTTTAAAGCAGATTCTACTCTCAGAATTAGTATGGCTTCTTCTTCCCACTAAGCAGGGGTTAGTTGATTTCCAATTCCACCTTTAAGAGCAGGAAGCTTTTAGGTAAGCACTACTCAAAGTTGTTAATGCTTGTTTTAAGGATAAAGCATATGTTCTTCCTCCATATCACAAGTAAGTAAGAAATTCTAAAAAAATTATGTGATTTCTTCAGGCTCCTTCTTCATTGCATTCCTAATGAAAAGCAATGTAGTGGAAAAAAGTAAACTAGGTTGTAATAGATACAAATGACAAATGGCAATGTGGCACTGTATACAGTTAGTATGAATAGTGCAAACAAAATGTTACACAATATAATTACATGCTAGTGCATGGAATGAAACTTCTAACTCTAGATGATCAATGGTTATGAGCAATTAAGTTCACTCCTTTATCAGTGTTATATTTTTTGATATAACTATACTGTTCATTACTGTTCATATTTAGCTGTGGCTGTTACACCTGACTTTATGATACTAGCCTTTAAAATCTTCAAGTTATTCCAGTTCATGTTCTCTTTATACAAATTTTTCCCTCAGTGTCATCTCTCATGAGACCACAGTGCAGTTTATTCTAACAATAAGTGTCTGTTGGATTTTAATGTTGGATTTTAAATAACAGGTACTTCTAAAATTGGTGCTTCCTAAATATGTCGTGTTCAGATGTCTAATTTCTGAAGCGCAGCAAATCATTTTTGTGAGACTCGTGACAGTACCACTCTCAGGTGCTGTGCTTACAGAGACTGCCCTCAGGTGGCATTAACATCTTGATGCAGGATGCATTGCAGAATCCTCTGTTAATCATGCCAGCATAACAATGGGGGGAAAAGAAAACCTGCATTACTGCTGAAAGTTAATTTATTGATCATTTATGGTTATGTGAACTAAGACAATGTATATTAGGGTTGCAGCCTTCTTTTTTGATCAGTCCACAGAGGTCTTGCAGTTAGCAGGCGAAAGACCTTCACGAACATCCAAGATTCCATGAAAAAAAGAAAGTAATGGAAGATGTTGCCAAGATTTAATTGCAGTTATTTAGATGAATGAATATAGGAAGGCCTATGACATGTTTTGAAACAGACTCAAACAAAACCTTGTGATTAGATTCAGAGAACTGTTGTAATGAAATCATTCCAGTAACAGCAGATTGCTATTTTGGACTAATTTTAAAAAACTATCTAAAATGACTTCCAAATGTAAATTTGACAGGCTCTTTTTTGGTTTTGTTTTGGAGGTGGAAAAGGAGGAAGAGGATGAGGAGGAAGAAGAAAACACACTAAATGAACCAGAAATTAGGTCAACCTAGTTGGTTGGGAGCCAGGTCCTTCTGGCAAAAAAACTACACTCAGAGTGGAATAACACATTCTGATAAAATATGCATTGCCAATCCTTCAATAGGCTTAATTTGAAGGCTCTGCAATGTAGATAAAAATTCAAAAGTCTCAAGGCTTAATCCTTTATTAGGTCATTTACTGTCTCTTCCTCTTCCCTAATCTGATGATCTTCAGCAGAAAAGAGGTTCAACTAAATATTTTGAAAAGAAAAATTAGTAATTTAAAGTATGTAAATGTAACTTATGCTGGGAGAAAAATCAGCTGGCTATAGGCGCATGCATAACCAAACAGGGAAAGCAGTGATCATCCCAAAGCCTTTTGATTGCTTATCAGAGCTTGCTTCAGTTGCATTAAGCCAAACTGGTGCTGCCTTTCTCCTTTTGCGCTCTGCACACTGTTAGTGCTCACCTGCAGCTTTCCTTCCAAAATAGCCCATTACATGACTGTACAGATCCCTCAGTGGAGCCTCTGCTGGCATTCTGTTCTGCCTCTGTGGGGAAACATTTGCCTTCGGCTTCGAAAGAGCATGTACAACAGTTTTATAAACACCACCCAGGGAGCCCTGCTGTTGTGCTGACTCCTGACCTGGTGCTCTAAAGGCACTACGACATTGGAACTGACTAACGGCAAGACCTTCTTTCTGCAACACAGCTGCTTGAGTTTCTGCAGATTCCTTAACTTGTTTGCTGCCAGCTGAAGCAGTACTGACTGCATCTAGATGCCTATATATTCCAGGTCTAACCAGCTCTGTTGCAGCTGATGAGCTACTGCTTGCACTGGTACTGCTGTTGCTGCTACCACTACTGCTACTACTGAAGCCACCAAGTTTACGAAGTCTTGCTTTCCAAGCAGCCTCTTTGTTTTCAAGAGGATTGTAAAACTGAACTGATTCTGTAGATGGCCTAAATGTAACATGAACGCTGTTTCTTTTTTTAGTTGTTATTTTCATGATTTTGGCCCTATGAGTTACAGTTTCAGATATACTTCTTTTAGCTGGTGCCAGTTTGCTTGTGCCTGTGATGTGAGGCAATTCTTTAGTAAGAATTTTCTTTGCATGGACAATACGCGAGTTGGTCACTTTTTCATTACACTGGGCACTTTTATGCTTTTCAGCTACCGGTGCTTCCACAACTAAATCTACATCAGTTTCAGTGGCTGCTTGCCTGTACAGATATCTCTTCCCTTCTTTGCTGCTAGGACTACTTGACCCACGATCAAACACACTTTCACATTGTTTATCAATATCTAACTGTCTGGCTTTATTGAGCGCTTGATTTCTTGTAAAAAAGTCTACTTGAGTAGGTGCAATATTACTTATAAAGCCACTTGGGTTTTGTTCTACTTGCAGCTCTGTGTTATTGGCTCTTTCTGCAACAGCGTTGCTAGTTGTGCATTGAGCAGTCTGATCTCTATTTTCTAATCCGTCCAGTGGTAATCTATCGTTCCTACTTACTGATGTATCAACTTCATGAGCAGAAGCCTCAGATTTATCTATCTCAAAGTTACCGCAAAGTTCTTCTTTTTCTTTAATAAGATATTCTCTCAGAGAGGAAAGGAGATCATCTTCACCTTCAAGGTCAACATACTGGCTTTGTTCAAAGGCAGTGTTTGCAAATTCTACCGGCCCTATTAAATGACAAAGATGGTCATAAATACTATCCCCAACTTCCAAGGAGGACTCTCTGCTATTTGTATCAGTGATATGGCTTTCAGTGGATCTATGCATTGAAGAGGTCTCAGTGGAATTCTGTAAGCTTGGAGCATGATGGGATGAACTGTCAATGACAGGAACTGCACCTTTGGCTCGTTCAACTGCGAATGGTTCCAGGATGTCTGAGGTGCTGCTGCTTCGTGGCAGAGGCTGTTCTTCATTTAATGCACCAAAAACTTCACTTGGAGCATCCTCACTCTGAGAAAAATGTCTTACTCGAGGTGGACGTGGAAGAATTTGAGCATCATCAATGTCTGTAGGAAAAAAGTGTATGTAACATGCACAAAAATTTACATATAGAGACAATATATATTTACCACTACATCCTAATGATGTCACTTTAAAAGCCAGAAAAAATCAGAACCTTGTTTTCTTAGGTACAACATAAACACTTTTTCCAATACTAGAGTGTTAAAAACGCACGGACATAATATCCAGTACAGAATGTAATATAAATGAGTTAGACCATCAGAACACAGTTTTAAATGTTAACATGCATGAGAACGAACAGTGAGGTCATGGAACATTTGGAAATACAGTTAAAGCTAGAGCTGTGCCAATAAGTTCAATAATTCAACCAATATTATTCCAGCTAGATTGTTCAGGAAATGGTTATTGGAATACAAATTAGCTCAACAGCAGTACTCCCTCTGTGGAATTTACATCTTCAGAAAAATGAGCAATTCCAAAGATAACAAGGATGTTTTTTGGAAAATTTGTCCGTTGAAGTGGCAAATCATTAATTAAAATATGTATATATGTATATGTGTGTATATATATATAAATTACCGTGATTTCTGAAAGAATACTATAACACAATTATAAGTATTTTGACAGTGTACATCTAAGGACTAAAGCTTTTAAATTACAAGGAAGAGCTGGCCCTATACAAAAAGGATGACTATACACAACAGAAAATTTAAAGATATAACCTTTTTCCCCAGAAAAATATTTTGTCTCTCATCTTCAAAATATGAAACTAAATACCTAATGAAGGCTTACCTCCTGCTCTTCTTCCAGTTTTACTCCAGCAATGTAACATTTTTGAGTATTACAGAATTAAGTACTCTGATACCAAAAAACATCCTGCAGCCTCACAACAGCAAACATTAGAGTAAACCCACTTTTGTTTATGAAAAGATCAGAATTTGTTATTACCATTTAAATTAGTGATTCCTTGTTTCTGTTGAGACTCTTAATATGTTAGTGTCAGTAAAAATCAGTTAACTATAATGAAACCTGCAGTTCCAACATGGATCACCTAGGAATTGTACAGAAGTATCTTCAACTCATTTCATATCATCCACAAAAATAAAGAACCTTCATGCATCTCTTCAGATTTCCTACTATGTTATAGGAATACTATATACTATCAAATTACCACTGTAGGCAAGAGTAAATATCCTCTACAGACGAGTAAACTAACTGCTATCCCTTCCGGTCCTTTTATGAGATAAGCACCTAAAGAGCAAGGTAAAACCAGTTTACTCAATTTTCTGTTGGTTTCTTTTTGATGGAATCTTTTATTCCCTAGATTAATTTTTTATTACCTAGTACTTAAAATGTTGTAGAGATACTTTCAAATTCAGGGATAACAGTAAATAGCTTAAATGAATACCAGCAAGAGTTATTTGCCACAATAAACAGACTTACCTTGTTGTTCTATCTAGATGATTTAACTTCAGGACTGCAATGGTGAATTTACTTAATATCAGAAAAAATTTAAGCCCCCTTCCCTCCCCTAACTTTGATGTGTTACAGCTAAAATAAAGTAACTATGTATGTAATTGCATTTTAAAATATTTCTATTATTACTAGATATTATATAAAATATCACTAAGTATTTAATATTATTAGTTAATTTATCTCTATATATTTCAGTAATATTGAATATTGATAATCAGAAGTCCCCTTAAAACCTGTTTTGAGCTGCTTACACTTTTCTGAGAATATTAGAGATGGAGCTGCATTTTCTCATATTCCCCTTCATAACAAAGCATATAAACCAGATGAATATGTCTACACTTAATTAAACATGTGTTTCAAGAAGATGAAAAGTGCTATTTCCATGCTCAATTTTTCATAGAAGTTAAAATTTGAGAGTAACAGTTTGACCTCATACAAAGTTTACTAAACTGTAAAGAAGCTATTAGACAGGAAATTGAGAGATCTATATTGGAAAAACAGAATAGACATCCAAGCTATCTCAGAAAATAAACATTAACTGAAAAATCATCAAATACAGCAGAATCTATTATTCCTTCTCTCTTCAGCTTTGATAAGCAATGAATTTCCCATCATTGTTCTTGTTCAACTTATTACTAACTACATGAATTAACACCCTCTGAAACAAATCATGTCTCTCTAACTGGAACTGTTATTTGAAACTCCCTACTGACTTAGGTAGAAATTAACAGAAGTTATGCTAACGTAGTCTCAAGCTATTTCTTACAGCTGTAAAGAAGGGACCACAGGATTCAGTCAAAAGTATGCACAATGATATATATGAGATTAATACATGCAACTGTGATACAGTGATCTCATCTTGAGCCCTCAGTATGCATTTTTCAAATCTATTATAAACTCAACCTTATCTAAAGCAGCAGCCTAGAAATTCCATGCTGTGCATGCATGCAGTGATCATGATCTTCTAGGATGTTAAAAAAAATCGGACAGAGAACTCACAATGCACACAAAGCAGCTCCACACATTGAAATAAATTCAGCTAGATTCATTTCAATGTTGATCCAGAATTAATTTTAGGTGCTCACATATTCATGAGAGCACCTAAAGTACAAGTACAAGCACATCCAAGTACACATCTTCAAACAAATACGTGCTTGCCCCAATAGAGATTTCTTTTTTGTAGAACGGGAAGAAACGAAGGAAATGAAAAACGTTACTGTGATACCAGCACTGAAAACACAGACAATATTTAAAAACACAAATGAACTGCTCCTTCATAACCAGGGCTCACCCTTGCACACAGGTGTACAGTCAGACTGGAACACCTAAAACTCCCAAGGAGTTTGTGTGCCAGCAGGCTGACCCTGTGTATCTGACCCTGAGCACCCTTAGGAGAAACACTGCCCTGATTCCTCATATGGTGCAGTAAGGAAAAGATTGTAATTGGTACATCTGGCCAATCTCACACAATCACTATCGTCCTAAGTCAACCTTGCCTCTCCTTTTGCTAAGAGAAGGCAGAAAGAGAAGGCAGCTTTTCAGCATCAAGTGTGAGACAGATATGGTAAAATACAAACTCATGGAGAGCCACATTCTGACAAGACAGCATGAGTCCTAACAGAAGATCCCTGTATAACACTGGGGCAGGTTTGTATTTCATCATGCAAAGACTGTTTGGGAAGTGGAGGAAAAAACTTATGTTTTGCTTCTAAGCTTTCAATAGTTGGGGTTTTTTTAAGAGAACACAAGCATTCTGTGAGTTTCTGGGATTAAAGAATAATTACAGCCATACTGACATTACCATTATGATTTCTTTCTATTTCATCTTAATGCTTACTGAATGATTTGGGAGTAAGGTTGTAACGGCATAATATGCATTTCCCTTTCACATTAATACTCGACTCTTTTAGTCCCAGTAGATAAGGAAAAATCTCCCACCCACAACTAATTAGTTTGCCCATTGCTTTTAGGAATCTTGTCTACATCTCACTGACACTTTTTTTCAGGTCTTGTACCTGAAAATACCCAAGGGTTACAAAATGAATGGTCATTTCCCTAGTTATCTTGTAAATTGTAAGACTGGATTTCTTATGATTCTGACAGGCTAAAGAAAGTTCTTTTTAGAAATATTGCAGATTTGCAACAGATATACTATACCAAATCACTTTACTAACTAAACACCTTAGAGCATAAATCACTTCCACTTTCCAGATACTACTTGAAAAGTTGTGAATATTCTGCACATGGAAATACAGCATAACCGAAACTACATGAAGGAATCACGATCTTAGGAAAATCATCCTCTATGATGCTAGATGACTGGATGTCAATATTGAACTTCTGCAATATATTTTATCAATCTACTGATTGACCTTCAAATTATGTCTCACAAATTATAATCAGGTTTTCTGCCTTACCCTTGAAAATTAATATACAGTACATAAGGTAAAAGCTTGGTCATAAACGCTTTCTGTTACACTACCTGCCCAGATTCACCAGTGTTTAGTGGGTCCACCTTTCAATGATGAGTTTCACAGCTAAAAAGAAGCTGAAAACTACTTCCAAAAACTTTATATTAGGCAGCCTATTATTCTGGAATAATTTGAAATGTCATCTCCTTCAAGTTGCGTTGGATTGTAAAGTAATTTTGGATAACAGGGATATTCATATAATTCTGTAATAAGATGAACAGCTGTCACAACTAGCTAAACATCATTCATTACCTAGAACACACTTACAATAGAAACAATTTGATTCCTTCCCAGATTACATGTTGTACGTCTGGAAACAGAAGGCTTTCAGAAAATAATATATTTAATGTAAGAAGAAAAGGCAAGAAAATGATAAAGCTTCGTGTTTAAATAAAAAGGGAAGAAGAAAGAGAGCACAATTAAAAATGCAGAAAATTAAAAGAGCAAAGTGCACTCTGATCCAGTGGACAGGGTTTCTCTTTCTCTGCTATTTCCCCATCAACACCCTAATAGCTTGCTTTTTTAACTAGAACTTTTTAGTTTTCTGGCAATGGTCAAGATTCCTGGGCACATCATGAAGCTGCTGCAACACTCATTTGTTTGAGAAGACATCAAAACCAGGAAGGGCTTAGGACTTTTTGTATGTTAGAAGTGCAATGGCCTGTAACGTCACTTTACTTTTATAATCACATTGGTCATGCAGTTTTTGCATTGGATGATTATCAACATAAAGAATAATAGCAAGAGAGCCAGTAGGTCTGGGACACATTAGAAGTAATTTGCAAGCCAGGACTTTTCAGGAACATGGATGATAAAACTGACTACAAAAGCACTTCTGCTTGGTTCAAGAAAGGGTAATTAAGTAGCAGTAATTATGTGATGAAATACTATTTCACTGTGCAAGCTCATAACCCTTCTGTGGGTGTTCTTAAGGTCTTCATTAGGCACTGACTATTTCCAACAACACTATGGCCAGGAAGGACACATTCTCTAATAGATTGTTTGTGTATCATCCCTATAAAATCTCTATCTTCTAAGTTATAATCACTTGTATCTCAGAAGAGATACTCTTTGCACTCATACTTTTATTATTTCTTACATATAATTTGTATTTTTTAAAATTTTGTTTCTGGTGTCAAGAATTGTATTCAAATACTTTGTAATTATTCATTGTGAAAGTTTGGTCTCTCTAGAGTGGGTTCTTTGAACTTTCTTGATTTTTCAATAAGGTTTTCAGGCTGAATACTAAGGCATCAAGTTTCTGCTTCACAACAAGAATTTTGTGACACGTGACACATGACAAAATACAATTATGAAGATACAGTTCTTGGTACTTCTTGGGTAATAAAGACACGCAGGAGAGACAGAAAAGAAAAAAAAATCTTCCATAAAAATATTATTGTCATGAAGTCCTTATATTTGTATGCCATTTTGACTATATATAGTCCTCCCACTGTGCCTTCATTTTTTTTTCCACTCATTGATACAAAGGCATAGTCAGCCTTAACACATTACAAATTTATACCTATGCAATATCTGGAAAAAATTAATTTATCTGAAAACATGTATTTTAGAAGTCTATGCTAATTCTAGTTGTTTAATCTACTTGTTCAAAGAAAAGTATCCAAAGTAAGCCACGGTCCAACTTGTAGCCAACCACCCTGCTGGACCAAACAATGTTGAAGAAACCACAATCCTAAAAAATGGATCATTTGGAAAATAACACCAAAACACCACACTTGAGAATTCCACACTACAGATTTTTTTTCATGTTTTTATATAGTAATGAAAAACAGGAATACTCTAAAGGATATTATATGATACCACATTCTTTTTTCATGGGAGCTAAAGTGTATCATCATGGTTGTTCACACAACATCTATGACACTGAATTAAAAAAATTTACACAGAAAGATGTAAATGGCAAATTAAAGTAAAATTTCTTCCTTTCCCTCCCTCACTCATCCAAAATAAAAATTTTAGATTAGTTGTAGACAGATATGGTATTACTGCTTACCAATAAATTGGAAAAGCGGAAAGATTTCTCAAATTTTCTCTTTTATGATAATAAACATTGGCACAGCACTAACTTCTAACAGTTCCAGAATGAATTGTAAAATAGCATGGTATCTTACAAAACTCAAAATATTAATTCTTAATCTCTTCCCCTCTCCCACCATCCCCAAAGTATTTTTACTTTGAAAAATTTAATGGTTTAGCAGAATTTGAAAGCAGAAGGTTTAAAAAAGTGACAAAGGGGGTGCAGAAATTAGCAGAGGTGGCACTACCTGAAAGCTCATCAGAAAGGGGAGTGAGAACAATATCAGGCAAGAAGGGTTTGGAAGTATGGATCAGAACAGGAGCACTTTTAGCACTGCGTATATAGGCCGATGGCAGAGCACATTCACCAATGGATCGGCTTCTCATGGCTTTAAAAAGGAAAAGAAAGAAGTGGGGAAGGAAAAAAGAAGAGTGACTATAATGAAAGGCTTGTGTCACAGAAAAAGCAGCAACAGAGAAAACAAAGATAAAAAGGAAGAAAGTTCAAAAATTAAAACATTTCAGCACGGCAGATATTGGCAGAGCTGTAAGAAAGAAAAAATCAGTGGACACATAAGACATTCTGAGTTTTCAACTTTTATGTAAAGCAGCAACAATGCCTTTATTATGACGATTACAGAGATTTTGCATTTGAAATCAAGAGGCTGATTAACACATTTTCCCATTGCATCAGGGGTTGAAAAATCAAAGTTAAAGTTACTCTACAAGCACTCTGAATTTGATTTTTTTTAGCAGGAAAAGTAACTTGTACTACATTTGTATTTTTCTAGTTTCCTTTGATTTTCTCCTGAAAATGCATCACACATATGTATCACACATATGTATCACACATATGCCCATACTCTTGAATTCATGTTCTCCAAAAGAGATTCAAAATCATAAGGAGAAATGATCAGTTCTGTGTGGAGAAATTTGCAATACAGCTTGTTATAGTTCCACATTAAAAATGAAATTACTGAAGTGAAATGTTTTAACTACGAAAAGCATTAATTTTTTTATCCATGGAGTCTGGCTTTTAATTGATACTGGATAAATCTTGCCAAACTGATGTTTATTCACGTTTTCATATCTCACATCCTGCCAACAGTCCTACAGAATAAAAGATGCACATAAGAATTGTGGTATTACAATCAAGGTTATATCTGCAGCTTTTCTAATAGATTTAAATGAATCTTTGACATTTGCTTTTCTCTGTCAGAGTAACATACAGCAAGAATTAATACTGCATTCAACCTCAAAGTACTCTGGAAGTTCTTAAAAAAGTAATATTCTATGCTTCAAGTAGCTTCGTTTCATACTGTTGTAAATTTGCTAACTTGTTTTAAAATCATTGCTGATAAAATTCTTTAAGGAAAATTCAGAGTATCTAGCATAAATATTGTCACTGCAATACTTAATCAGTCTGAATTTTTCTCTCTATATTTTCAAAACAACACGGAATATAGACTTAGGATCTTAGTGCTCCTGATCTGCATGGGAATAAAACGTACGTGAATGGAGTGCAGTGAAAGTTGAGCACATCACACTTTAAAACCAGGTTAAAGAATTACTGCCAATAACAACAACATGCAGATAACCTGGGTAGGTCACATTGAGCAGAAAATACATTTGACAAATGCAGCACAACTTAAGTGGAGTCTAAAATTCAGTTTGAAAAACAATTCAGTTTGAAAAACAATGCTTTTAAGACTGAAGCAATGCTCTAGTAAACTTTGTATAACAGAAACTTTTTTTAAAAAGGCAATTATGTGTAAGGCTTTAGTATCAGTTTGATTAAGAGATGCAATAAAATTCAGGATATAGTTATAGTTAGATGCATTACATTCATCACTGTGAATCTTACAGTGAATGTAGGCAAGAGAAAAAATAAAACCACATAGTAAATATTAAGGATCTTTTCCAGGCTAAATTATTCTAAATAAATAAAGCTTTTGATATTGGATACTATGTTGATTACAACTCTTGACATAAAGTGTTCCTTTTAATTTGACTGGATTTTTTTTCCACCATATTGCATTCAATTTAACAGTTAGGTGGAGACAGACAATATCAGAACATGTAGATATTTGATAGTTTATAACCTTCCACTATTGTCTATATAAAAGCAGAACAATAGGTGAGTAAATTCTTTCTGACACAATATTTTTATAGGACCAGAACCTGCTGCCTAAGCCAAAACTCTTGTATCTAACCTTACAGATTTTTCAACCCGTATGCATACAATGCTGAAAGGCCCTTTCCAAAAATTATTTAAAATAAGCTCAAGCTAAAAATGTACACACTGCATATCAAAACAGCTTTGATTTTTTACTTGACTAACACTCACACACACATATTTGGTGCAGCAATAAATGTGTGCTGGCATGATGATGGCTGAAAAAATAGAGGTGCAAAGGTGTACACAAAAATGTGTACAACATAAAACAGATGAAAAAGAAACTCCAGCTTTTTCTTACCATAAAATATTCAACATGCACATCCCCCCTATTCAGATATTAAGAGTATATATTACTCACAATCAAAGGGAATGTAATACAAATCACATATCATGCAACATATTTAAGGTCTGACTCAATTCCAGACTTAGCCTGCAAACCTAATGATAAACTGAAGATCTGACCAGCAAAGTGTTCTAGATTTTCCTTATTGTGATCATTTTTTTATTATTTGACCCTGGATTTATGGCACAGACTAAGAAGCAGCTGAACAGCTCTCTTTGCAGACCAGAGAGGCAGTAACAAACAACTATTTTCAGGCAGTTAAGATATATGTAACATTTAGTAACATTTTCCTCATTAACATCTAAAAAAACTAAGGAGTTTGGGATTCTGGTTCTGGGAACTCTTTTTGGATTTATCATCTTTTAAAATCATTCTAGCAATGCTGGGATGCTTGTCCACAGTTGGTCTTCTGTAACATGAATAGAGTTGAAATTTTAACTGGTTGCAGTAATGCAAACTTGGCTTATTGATATCAAATATGTAAGATAATTGAAGGAAAGGAACAAAAACATGGAAGCTAAAGTGCAGTGAAACTAAAATCAGATTACTTTGCTGCTAATCAGGTCAATATATAGCTTGATTAGGATAAATTCCAGTCATTTCAAGGCTAACATCATATAAATAGCCATCTTTCAAATTGTGGCAAAACAAAAGCATTAATAAATTGACCAAACAACATAACCTTCTGACAGAATATCTGAAATATTAACAATTTGTGAAGGAGAAATTTTAACATGAGCTTCATCTTGTTAAGACAATTAAGATTTAAAACAAAACCACCATTACACTTAATCACAGACTACAGAGAAGCAGAAATTACATTTTAAGTATCTGTGATCCATGAGGAAAACTAGGTGCTGTCAGCATGAGATACAGGAAAAGCTGTGTAGCATTTGAATGTGCAAAAACGACAGGAAATTGTGGAGTAGGGACTTCATTTTCTCTCATTTCTGTATGTCTTACAGCACAATTAATTCTCCCACATAAGAGCCTTAGGAGAGAAAAAAATTTAAAATGGAGAATTTTGAGGAATAGTCAAATAGAAACTTTGTCTAAATAACCTCTGTGACTTAAAGATTTTAACTTCAAAGATTTTTGGAAAAAGAAAGAAAATGTTAATTTCTGAAAAGGTAGCACAATTATATATTCAACTGCTGATATACATCCCAAATTTTTAAAATTGTGTCAGAATGTACCTACTTCCAAGAAGTATCAATGAAGCAACCACACAATGACCAAAGCTACTACTACTGTAACGATAGCAAAAAAGTAAGAGATAGTCCTTAAGAGGTTCTTCTTTAAATACAAAATTAGAACCAGCTTAACTTTCCTTCAAGTAAGCAATAGCACTGAGATCACCAAGATGAGACAAGAGTAAAGAAATTTGTGGTCCAGTTCCTGTTAACATAGTCTAAGAAAATCATATGAACAAAATAAGTCTTCTTTTGAAGAGTTCACCTAAAGCATTGTTCAGTATAACTCATTAATAACACAGCAAAGAATATCTGCAAGTAATAAAATTCAGAAATAGGTGACTTCAGAAATGGAGAATTGCACACATCTTTCAATCTTTCATTACTGCAATATTCAGGGTATAGTAAAAGACAGCACATTTAATAAACTATGCAGACTTATGAATATTTTTCCCCACTTTCCTTTGCATGGTTTGAAAATACTCAACCCATCTTGTGCAGTGTATGAAAACATACACTTAAGAAATCTTCTCTTACCCACCTATCAGCACCATAGCTCAAACAGCTCCAGATTTTTCTCCTTCATATACATAGTACTATTTTCCAATCCAGCTTACTGTGATCAAATTCATTAAGAATTAATATAGCAAATGCATTACTTTCATTTACAATAACTGTAATTCTAGTAAACACAATCCATTCAGCTACCCTCAAAGCACATAAAGCTGCATAATTTATGCTTTAACTAATGTGCAAATCATTCTAGATAGCACACCTTTGTGGAAAGAAGCTATCCACATTGCTACAGAAGTCAGCTATTAATTCCTTAGCCTTTCTCAAATGTCCCTTTCACCAGCTCTTACAGCCACTTACCAACAGTTTTCTGGCGCACGATGCTCCTTGCCTTTTCTGTTCCCGGAGAGCCGGTGGTCGTTGCACTGCGCTGCCGCATGGGTGCCTGGCCAGGCTGGTCACGGCTCCAGCCTCTGGAAAAGGACTTATCAACAGAAGACTTTGGGAATTCATGCCCAACTCCTGCAAAATAAAATTGCAAATCTACTCACTTCTATTCTGCTTTCACCAGATGATAGATGTGTTTGTTCAAAAAATTTTAAAGCTGGATGGAATAAATTAAGTTACCAAAGCAAGTATGAATTCAAAAGCTCAGCCAGCACTAACTCTGAGAGATACTCAAACTTTTTCAGAAATGTTGGTGCTATTAAACTACTGTAATTTTCTTTTCTGAAAAAATAGGCTTACACAGGTTGTAGTCTGATACTACATGTAACTTTTCCTTTGCTGCTCCTATCAGATAAGATACACAAATTAATACATTTCAAAACATTAATACTGGGGGCACAGGTTTCCAAATAATTTTGCAACATTGAGGAACATGAAATAAGGATAACATAATTTTACACAAAATGCAAAAGCAAAAAAAAGATTGGATGATAGGCTCAGAGAACTTTGGAAATTGACAGAAAATCCTATAGTAAGATAAGGATGAAACAAATTCAGATTTGACATTTATATTGAAGTAAATAAAGCTCATATGAGGAGCTATCAAAAACAGCTAGATGTAAAAAAAAAAAAAAAGTGAAGCAAAGAATATTTGCAATGTATTTCCTTATCCAGATTGAGCTCATTAATAATCCAAACTGACACAATTACAATCATTAAAGGGGCATCTCTTTGAAAAAGAGAGCTCTAGTCCAACATGTTCATTATTATTAGCAAACAAACAGGGGCAAAAAAATTTGGCATCATTTGTATGATTATCTATTAATTCTAAAGCTGGACTTGACTCTGCAGCTAACATTTAGCAATGGAGGCTTTCTCTGAAACTTTTGTCACTGAAGGTTAACATAAACTTTCCTCGTGTTGCTCATATGATTCAAAACGCTTTTGAAAGTATATATTCAAATAACTGTACACATTCTTATCCTATGCTAGACTGGTCCTTTTTTGCTGTTTTGTTTTTGTTTTGTTTTGTTTTGTTTGGGGGGGGGGAGGTGTTTCGTTTTGTTTTGGGGGTTTTGTTTGTTTGTTTTCTTGGCATTTGTTTTTGTTTGTTTTGTTTAAGCTGTGTGTTTTTAGTACAAAAAAGAAGAAAGCTGTGTAGTACAGGAAAACAAAAAATGCATGGTCTGGAATGACCTCTCAAGGGCAACTACAGAGAGATGTATTTCTGCCCAGTTATCACAGAGCAGAAACCAAAACAAAATGCTGAATAATGACTCTGCTTAAGATGAGGCACAGAAGTATGTGAAATATTTTTAGCAAAAAAAAGCTATAGTAACATCTTCTTTAAGAGAGGGAATCCACATAGGTTGCTTCTCACTGACAAACCTTAAGATAGTACTAGGAAACACCTTCCCGCAGGTTTGACTGAAGAGATAAAAAGTAGCCTAAAAATAACATGTTTTTACATCTTTGTTACACACCCTAAATATAATCCTGCCACTCACTATTAGATCACAATGCAGTTTTTAAAGGCGAACATTATCCACGTTTTACAAAAGTGGAAACGAAGCAGAAGGTCTGTCTTCAAACCAAGAAAACGACCCAGGTTTTGAAACTTTCAATCCAGACCTCTATCCAGGAGGACAAACATCCTGTCCCTTATCAATTCCACAACTGTGCCATTGTAAGCAGCCACTTCCTCTCCCCATATTATGTCTTACAGAGTATTTATGCATTTTTTAGGAATCAGTTTAAAAATGGGTACCACTCATGGATTATTAAGCTATACTTTCTCTTATGTAGCCCACAAGCTCTCATCGTAACCAAACCTGTCTTCACGAAGGGCTAGTGATCAGTTAGTACCAAACAAAGCTATGTCACTTTACATTTCATCTTTTAACATTTCATGACCAATATTCCAATTGTGCTTGCAATGGCTGAGTTTTCACCAGCTGAATAGTGTTTGTTATTTTCAAGAAGTTATGACTGGGACTCAACTATTTAATTTCTTTGCTAAAAGGAGAAAGGCATAACCCGCTATGGTGTAACATTTTAGTTTAAATTCAATGCACTTTTAAGAACTACATTCCCTATGTGCCTATTTGCATAAATAACATGATCATTTTGTGGCAGTTCTAAAAAGCAGATTTTCCTTAAAGAAACAGGGTTATTTCAGGTGACAGAGATGCTTAATGAAGTATATAAAAAAAGTGAGACCACAATTATCCTGTGCCCAACACCAGCTCAAATTCAAATGATGTACATACAGTGTTGTCTTACCTTTGCCTTTGTGTTTTTTCTGCTTCTGCTCACTTAATTTATCCAGTGGCAGGTCACTGAGGTCCAGGCTATACAAGTTTCTAGCTAATACTTTAGTAAGTGTCTCCATTGTCAGTGACCACTCAGTGGCCAGCTCTTCCCAGTATGTCAGTGATGACATTACAGACAGCAAGTCATCCCAAAGTTCTCGAGAAATGTACACATTTAGATTTGCTTTGATCCAAGCTACTATAAGAGTCTAAAAGAACACAGAAAAGTTGGATTGTGAGCATTAGCTGACAACATTCATATGTTACAATTTCAAAGAAAACTTCAAACTGCCACAGAAATTTCTGTGCAGTCCTGACATTCTTTTCCTCACCAATACATACAGACTTTTAATGAATTATCAAGTGTTAACACAGAGCTCTGACGTAGATATAGGAACAACTGGTTTGACCCGTTATTTGTGTATTCTTTTTTGTTCTGCTAAAGTAACTGGAGACTCTATAGATCCTAGTCACTGAGAACACACCACAACAGCACTTTGCAACTATCAACTTTGAAAATATTTGCTACAGCTTTCTGTAAGTAATTACAGAATTCTCTAGGAAATAAAAAAATCCATCATTTAGGCATGGGTAACAGAAGATTTCCTGCTGACTTGAACCAATTTTGCTATGGCAGCAGACTAAAACTGCCCACACTGCCAGTTATCTTTGCCAGTTATTCCAACTCAACAATTCTACAGTGAATTTTACAGTACCTGAAATACTCTTGTCACAGTGTCATTAAAATATAAGACAGAAAGTAACAAATGTAACCAGCTCTTTAACCCACACTATTCACATTATCTGGGTAACATACCAGTGATAAAAGATGACAAACTAGCCAACAGTGGTTGCCGTATCCAATCTATTAATGAAAATTAGGCTAAATTAATTCAAGTGAATTTATGTTTACTTGCCTGGAAAAGAGGTCCTGCAAGTCTTCCAGCTAAAGTGGAGTTTTTTCTTCCTTGATACTGCAAGAAAGTTTGGGGTGGTATTTTCAGCACAGATTCAGTTACCCTGAGCAGCACAAGTAGCATCTGCTCCCTGCAAAACAGTATTAAACTTAAGAGTTACCATTTTGTTATACCTCTGTATATACCAAGGCATTTTCAAAAGTAATAATCAAGCCTTATTTGCTCAAACACATTCCAAAAATGTCATAATGATTACAAAGAACCTAACTTGGTTATTGCAAAAGAAATTATTCCGATCTTTTTTTACACTTAAAAGTGAGGAATCCCTGTTGCACTGTAATATTTTCTTCCAAGTAATTCAACTGCTATCACCTTCAATAGCCTGAAATTAGAGGGAAAATTTTAACTGTATTTTCAATCTGATCTTTTTCTTTTTCCAGTAATTACAGGTTTTGTAATTTTATATTATCATTAACATACTTCACCAATTATTTTGTGTGGCACAATCTTTGCCATTGTGATCTACAGTCACTTCTTTACACTGATGCGAAACTGGGAAGGAAAATACCAATCTAGTAGAATCTGTTTACTATTATCACTCCCAAATTTCCCAGTGGCCAGCTAAATTGGCTCCTCAGAAGAGGAGACAAGCTTTACATGACACATAGTGCCAGCTTTACTTACCCAGAGTTCAGGACAGATTGAAGATAAAGTCAAGATAAAATTGAATAAATCGGACATTTGAAATCCCCTTGCTACTTCTTCCTTGCAATGGAGAATAGTGGCAATATAGTACCTGATCACAGACTACTATTTAAAGGAATGGAAAATAACAGAAATTCCTTTAAAGCAGGGTCTCTTATACCTGCTAGGCACTGTAAGAAGTGGAAAGGTGTGACACAGTTACACAGTACACAGACTCCTGTATACAATTACAGGTCAAGAACAACACACATCTGATTGTAATAATTATCCATGCCTGTCTGGGGCTTTTGTGTTTATTTTTAAATAAGGCTGTGAAGCTTCATATGTTTCAATATTTTAATGCTTTGATACATGGGCAAAATGCCCTGCAAAAAATCATCAGTAGCTCCTTAATATCAGTCTATATATCCCAGATTAGTCTTTTTGCACTGAGGTCTAAGCTGCCACAAATTAACTAGGAGCTTACTAGAAGCTTTAAGAAAGTAGATAACTTCCCCTGTGCTAAGCTGTCTGTGGTGTTCAAGTCTGTGTATTTACTGATTTAGAGGAACTGGTTCATATAACCAATATCACTCTACAGTGTTTATTACCAAGTAAATTTTCACATTTGTGTTGTGAACTAATAATCTAAGATAAAAGCATTAGCATTTTACCATGTCTTCTTGTCCATAGTCACTTGGACTACCATGTGGCGGTAGATATTGAGAACGCGTTTGCACATATCAGTGTGTTCATCCAGCAGCGCTTTAAATTCATTCGCAGGTTCAAGAAAAAATATATTTGAAGAATTTATTATAAAAACCTGTAAACAGAAAAGAGAGGGTGCTCTGATCCTGAAACACTTTGATGTTTTCAGCAATTCAGTTGGTAGAACCAGGAAGAAAAAAATCTATAACAGAAAATCTTTATAAGAAAAGGTTGCAGATGCACACAGAAGTGCATGTTTAAATATTGCACTTTGAAGTAATGATTAAGCAACAATGAGACTGATCTTTTCCCATTTTTTCTACAAAATTTATTTGTATATTTTTGTTCTCATAGATGATTCAACAAACTACTCATATGATTAGTTTAATATGATGGACAAAAATGTCCCAGTAAGAAGTGCACTGCACAGAAGTTCCACCTCTAAGCCAGGAACTGACTAGTACAATATATGGTAAACTGCTTGAAATAGTCCTGGTACACTGTGTGTGCTTCAGCATGACACAGCTTGTATTATGTTCTGGGAAACTAAAGCATTCATCCCACTGGGATCAGTAAGGCTTACCAAAAATAGGAAACTGAACATGTTCCTGAAAGTGACTGACTTCAGTGGGCAGTAAATTAGGGCCTTCAGAATGAAAATTATGAAAAAAAGTAGGCAGGGACACTGTAGGAGCTACAGAAGCAGTTACTGAAGTGTTACTATATTTTTATGTAAGTTTAGAAAGCACTCGAATCTCAGACCTAGATTTTTTTTTTTTTTTTTTTTTTTTTTTACATGTACAGGAAGTCATTGGTACTTATGCCATAACTTCCCTCTACTGAAAGCTTCGGATATTTATTAATTAAAAACTATTAGTATGCACTTTTACATTCACTAGCCTTAACTAATGAACCTAACCTACTCTAAATGCCTAGAAATAAGTCTATGCAAGCATTAAATGGGAAAAAAACTCAAGACAGAAGTATTGGATTATTGATTCACAGGGAAAATCAAATGTGGTTCCAGGTCAGGAAATTTCTCAAAATAAGACAGGGTACTGGGTTAGAATGATGTCTTGACTCTGTTTCAGGCTAAAAAAAATAAAAAGATATTTGGTAGTCAAAGGAACCTTTATCTAAAAAACTTCAACATGGATAAACTTCAAGACATTGTCAGATGTGTAAGCCTTAGTAGTATATTGCAAACAGACACAGATACTTCGTATTTCTTTTCTCAGTAACACTTCATATTCTAAAATGTTGTTGAAAACAAAGATTATGAAGATTAAATTATTTTAATGTATTTGAATTTAAAAGTGATTTCAATTACAGAGTTTATTTGTATGTATAACAGTGTACAGTAAAAAAGATAACTATTCCTAAAATTATTCAAGCTGTAGTAAAAGTGAGTTTTACTTAGCATGGTCACACACAGTAGAAGTGAACACAGTAAAGTGGCAAATGCACATTATTTTATTTTGTTCAGAATCAATTTTCTGCTGGATATAAGAATATTATGGAGGCTAGAGTAATATACCCACCTATATGAATTTATGTGCATACACATATACATAGAATGCACATACTTTATAACCATAAGAGCATTTCAAAGACCCTCAAATTATACCCTCACAATTTTCCACAGCTTCACCTTCAGTGAAGCATTTTGCTAAACATTTGAAATTAACATGATTTCTACCCTGTCAAACTGCCTAGAAGCTATTAAAAAACTTTTGTTAGGGCACAACTGCAACTTATGCTTTCCTTAATGATATCACCAGAAAGTTATGGTGCCTCAGCAAACTTTTCAAATGTGCTGTAAATTCAGAAAAAGATGAAAAAATATCCCTGTACACCTTATTAATAGGACTGGAAAACTACAGGACTGGATGTTTTGGCTTTTGTGACCAATAGCGTAAAAGCAAAAAGCCTCTAAATACTCTCATAAAAGCTTAATTATATTTATTTTGAGATGAGATGTTGCAGTAGCACGAGGATTATTTTTTCTCTAATATAATGCAGAGGAGAATGCATGTTCCAATGCAAAATAAATTTTTTTTAATTGGGTTACCCAGCACTGGTCTATACATTTTCCTACTTCAGGTCAATAAAGATATAGTGAACCAGTCTAACCTTTATCATCATACTTGTTGCATAGAAAATATTTTTAAAATTTAGAGATACTTTAGAGATGCATAGGATTCCCTGGCTGAAGTATTGCACTACATTCCACTCTTTATGTGCTGATAACAAGAATTTTGGGTAATTTCAGATAGATAATTTAGATAAAATTAAATACCAAGTCTGTTTTATACCTGCAATACTGACTGCACTCCAGCTCGTACATTTTGTTCTTCAGAATCAATTTCAGATGTTTTATGCAAAGCGTCTTCATAACAGCCATTTCTTGCCCAGTTTGAATTTCTAACTCCATGACTAGAGTTCATCCCTTTTTCCTGAAAAATATTTTTTCTTAAAATTCCACAGAGTTTTAGACAAGTATTTTGGCTTTGTATTAAAGGGAAAAAGATATAATAGGTACTAAATAATAAACAACAGCAGACAAATGCACCTGAGACACAACAATATATCATGAGGCTTGGAGCAATTATCTTAAGTAACTGAATGAAGTAACTACTATTTTTGTCACCCTTTTATTTGCATAGAATTTTTACACAGTTGATAGTTGGCATACTGTATAATCCACATCTTGAAAACAGTTCATAAAATGATATGAAATTTTAAATTGAACTAAGCACATTAAAAAGCTACAGATAATGGATAAAATTGGTAGCTCATCTATACAGTGTTTTACCATTGATTTTCCCCAATAAATGCTCTGACACCAAAGAAAACCACCAATAAACTATCAAGGAAGCCATGTCTCTGTCTACTGGCAAATTAATGCACAAATATTAACCAATAATATTTTACCTCTTCTCTTTCTTTTCCTTTCTCTGAAGAATTATGGTCAACATTTTCATCACAATCTACAGCTGTGCACTGCATTATTTCTTCAGGTTCTTTCATAAATAAAGGTTTGTCTTCTTGTTGAATCCATTCTTGATATACCTTCACCACCTTCCTCATAGCAGCTGCTTCACAAATCGGCAACAGAAATGCCTGCAAGTAGAAAAAGAAAGAAAAAACCCCCACTGTTACAATATTTGAAATAAATTGGGCTCTATAATGTGCAAGTTCTATGAGATAAAAGTGGAAAAAGCCACTGTTGGATCCCTGTATTCAAACTATTCAAACTATTACCAAACCTAAATGTTTGCTCACTTTCTTCATATGTAAACTGAAAACATGAAAAAAACCCCAGATTTAAACTTAAATTTAAAGCTTATCAAGAAATACTTTGAAAGAGATTAAGAATCCATATGGGCGTATCTAGTTAGCACCTAGCCTGCTGAACCAAACACCCATCAAAATACGTAAAACGAATGAGCAGAAGTTTCTTTTCCAACATCTTCCATTCAGAGGATTTGGAAAAGTGGAGTTAAACCAGCTCTAAATGACTGAGAAAAAATCAAGTGACACACAACACTGGTAGTCTTCTATCTTATTTTTAGCTAATTAAGATTTTACAAAACAGTATCCTTAAAGTGAATTACTCCCTGAAAAGATTTCAGTATTATTGTTTCTAAAACTCATGCATTTGAGTTGGTGTGATGGCTGATCAGTGCCCTCTTCAGAAAGTTTTCTGTATTGGCTGTGCTGGTAACAACTAGTCATAGACCAGAAACTTTTAACATTAGTCAGATTTTAACTAACTACAAATACACTTACCAAAGACCATGATGCCCTCATTATAAATTCAGAAGAACAGATAAACTACACTAACACCCAGTTTTACAGGGTCTGAGCTGTGACTGATGAAAACCAGTTGCCCATATCTTTAAGGAGGGCCCACTTAACACAGGTAGTATGTTCACTCTGGAAACAGAGATTTCATACCATTATCACACTAAAAAGAATTCAGCTGTGTGTTACAGGATTAAACTGACAAGTACAGTCATATACTTCCTCATCAAGTCTAACATTCTCCTGCAAGTCCATACACATTTTTTTGTACCCTCAAGTCTAAAATGCATAAAACTTGTTCTATACAGACAATCTTTCCGCCACTCAGTACCACCGAAACCTCCTCTTGATAGGAATAACTTAGTCCTCATTACAGAAACATTACAAACATCTTGTGTATTAGAAATTAATTTACACTGAAAACTCCTGGCTAAATAATGATGTAAATAAGATTTCATAATTGCACATGAAATACAAATAATCTACATAAACTCACAGATTGACTTTTGAAAAGAATGAAGAAAATTGTCTTTGCTTCTTTTAACTGTGGGGACAGTGAAAAGTAGACCATTGATAATTTATATTCTACATTCAATGTCTCAGACTCTGTAAACCCTTGAGTGTCAGCTGAATTTGGAAAACTCTGCTATGTCCTTCAGTAATGTGTCCAAGCTCTTGACTACAAGGGATGTGGATAAGCTTCTGACATTTACTTGCCTCATTCAAAAATATTTACTTCATCCAGATAAACAAGTTTTAAAATGTTCAGCTTTCTGCTGTTTAAAGCAATTAGTGTTGTGCATTTAACTTGAAACTTAGTATATCTTTCTTTACTATTATTCAGAAATCTGTTTGTCTTTTGATCTATAGCATGGGCCATAAAGAAAGTTTATCTTATTCTATTCCTTATTCTATTCTCCCACACTGAACTCTTAAGTTACTATTAATAAAGACTCCATATTCTGGCATATGTTCTCAGTTTAAATTTGTTTTAATAGTTTCCAGTAGAGAAATACTATTCTGAGTATGCTCAGCTAACATTTCTGGTTCCAGTGAAGTCAGAAACAGTCAAGCTGCTACCTTTTATAGCCATCTGTCCTACTCTTCTGATGAACACTATCAAGGAAAGGACATTCATATGCTCCTAGAACAGCTCTGTAACAGCTGCAGACTCCCACAGGAGGCTTATGTTAATGTGGTTGGCTGTGAGTTTTAATACCTACAGTGTTGATGTATGAAAAGATTAAACATTCTTGTCTAAGGGGGAATGTGAAGTCCAAGTTAAATGTTGCTAAACTGGTTGTTAAAGATATAAAATTAGAAAAATTAGGAACTAGGGGTATTCTACAGAGAAAGTATTTCAGAATGTTGGCTTCTTGATTTTTGAAGGCAGGACGACGGAAAAAACCTGTAACTTGGTATAATGTTCTGCTTAACAAGTGCTCTTGAAAGAAAACTATGACATTATAAAAATATGCAATATAATAATCAAGATTCTTGCATTCTAAAGAGAGTTTTTTACCTGTCGAAAAATCTCAGTTAGAAAATTAACATTGTTTCTTTTAGAAGAGAAGACTTTCCGGACAATTTCAATATCAGTTAAATGCTCTTCATCAATACTGCAGAGGCTGGAAGAACTTGGCTCTCTCTCTGTTAGAGTACTTGTATTAGAATGAGATTGTTCTGGTTCTGCATTTCTATCCTGCTTATCAGTACTGTCATTTTTGCTGTCCTCCCTTGAAGCCATGCTAGCAGCTGCTCTCTGAAAAAAAAAATTAAAATATTCCATAGTTCATTTTTAGTACAGCAATAAATCAATACAATTTAAGTATAATTTAAACAGCACAAAGAATTAAAGAAAAAACAAACAAACAAAAGGATTTACTGCATTTTAAGGCTTCTAATGTCCAGCTGATTAAAAACAAATCACAAAATTTGAAAAAAGAAAGCAGCATTGCAGGTACTTTCAAATGGAATTAATAAACATAGAATTTGTTTAAAAATTACTTTTTTTTTTTAACTTTTCATTAGTCGTAATTATTGGAGGAGAGCATACTGCTGACATAACAATTAAACCAAAAAACATGAAAACAAATATATTTTTGTGTATTTGGTTTTACCTGAATATTCTTTGGCACATTTTCACCTTCCATCCCAGGAATATGAGGTCCTGTATGAGGTTTTGGCTCAAGCCAGAAAGACACCAACCATCGAATGACAATAACACGAGCCTTAATGAAAGGTTCCTTTGTGCAATAGATTGCCTCATTGGTTTCAGCATCTTTCTTAACTATTACGTAGTGTGGCTTTGGTCTCATTTGTGGTATATCTGTATGAAAATAAAACATCTTCAAAATATACACAGAGAGAAAGATCTGCATAAGAAAGAAATCCTAGAACCATAACCAATACACATGAACTTTCAGAGGTGCAGTTTTGTTGCATTCACTGTTGTGCCACTCATTCCAAGATGCACTGGAATGGATGCAACAGAGAAAATGTCAAGAACATGTAAGACATCAAAATTTAAGACATTAAAGCACTTGAATTTTCTCCTGAAGGGAGACAACACTGCTGGTCCAAAAGCCAGAAACTTATTTCTGCTATGCAGAACCTTTAATTTTTTATCTGAAAGTGATTTCTATAGCCTTACATTTTTTCTTACATTTTTTTCTATGTAAGTAAACACATTTCGTTATCTTCATGTTCTTTCAAACTACATTATACTCAATATTTAAAGATAAACTTCAGCAAACTCACTACTTCAAATTTTCACTGAAAACTATGAAGTTCCAAGTAGCAAAATAACTGTCAACTAGACTATGACTTATACAAGAAAATTATTTTCATATAAACTAATATATTGACAAATCTAATCATGACTACAGTGGGAGATATATAATTCCAAAATGCAAATGCAGTAAACACAGACTCTTCTGGCCCTGCAAAAGGATAAAGATGAATAGAACAGAGAAATCCTGCTGCAAAGCCACATGAGCTTTACAGCTTCACCTAGGGCCCCATTTGCACTGGCTAATGTTGCTGGACTTTACTGCCAGACCACAGGCATGTACATTTTCCTATGATTTAGCTGCAAGATGACTCTGAGGCAATAGCTTCTATACTGGCTTGTAGGAATGTAATGAAGGATGCCTAGGGGGACATCAGCTGGCAGGAACTGTGATAGAACTGACAACTCCATTTTCATCATCCCATGATGGTTCAGAACTGTTTAGCCTTTCTGGTTCTCTATTGCACTAGAATCATCAGTACTCCTGAATCTGCTTCAGAGAAAACATGACAGTACTTAACTCAATGTGGATGGAATGAACATATGTGGTAAAAGCACTACAAACATGGCGGGACACACGGATAGCATTTTTTAATTGTGCATTTTTCTGTGACTTAACACTGCAAAATGGCATTTCTGGGTTTTACAGCCCAAGATATGGTGCAGAATAGTTCTGCATTACCATCATCAACCTGAAGCAGCAATGATACTTTCATGTGCAAATGACATTTCTCTGAAAGTGGTATGCCAACCCACCATAGTCCTAGGCCTACAGGGGCAAATATGAGATACACTCCAATACAAAAAGACAAACATTTGTGTGAGGACTGATTATAATATGTGCTGTCAGGACACCCTGATGCTAGTGTTTCAGTACCATGATCTCTATCTAGTGACAGTAAAAAAACCCCCAGCAAACTCTAAAACAAATAAAAATACAAACAAACAAACAAACAAAAAAACCTAGCAAAAAGATGGAAGCATGGAAAAATGATGGTCCTATCCATATACAGATTGAACAGAATGGTTATGTCAGCACTGCCTTAACTCTTCTGTAGCCTGCAGTACATAAACAAGGGGAGAAGTTTTCCATGGTTTTACAGGCCAACCAGAAAGCAGTTAAAGGATACTAATGCTGAGTCAAAGAAGGATTTAAAAAGTTACACTGAACAATACAGAGGTATTGCCTGACTGTATCTTCCTAAAGCAAAGTCAAGAGACATTTTAAAGGATCCTGTGTAACTTTGCCAGTTTGTAATGTTAGAATCCAAGAGGGACAAATCTGGACAGCAGTGAAGAAATAATCAACTGTTGTCTAAGCAATTATATTATGATTGCCTTTTTAAGGCATCTAAAGTGCAACCAGTGCGTCTGCCAGACTGCAGATTTCCGTTACTATTAGATTTCCCTGTTACTATTAAAAATACACAAGATCCAGTACCTGCACTGAGGATATCCACACTGGTCTATCTCAGTGGCATTTCAAAAGCCACATACATAAGCAGTGATAGACCCATCATGATGCTGCTAAACTGAGGAATGTTTCCTGTAAGAACTTCAAAACTATATTCACGCTTTTCAGTGAAAGTATTATTTTTAAAGGAAAAAAACCATGATTCCTGCGTACCATGTACCTAAGCACATAACAAACACACAGAATACTCTTTGACAAGTTTACAAATGGTTTATTTACTGCAAATAATAAAACTCCAGTACATTGTTTTCATTCTGTGGAAAGCAGCAGGTAAGTAAGAAAATTAAAAATTAAGGATCTTAAACAAGCATGTGTAACAGTACAATCTGTGAAAAATGAAGTAAATGCCTGGTAGCACAGCATTTAAAGATGGAAAAGTCAGTTCTCTCTGGTATCTACTAGCATTCAGCAGAGCACAAAGGCTGCAGTACTAGCAGTATTTTCAGAAGGAATAAACATGCAGTAAACATGTTTTTGCAGCACTCTGTCTCCTCCTTGTTTGATGATAGCCTCTCAGAACATCCTCTTTCTTTAACATGTTTCAACAGCATTATGTGCTGTAGCTGCTTCTCAAATGTATCCTCCTTCCAGCTCTTCCTGTATTTTCAAATTCTGTCCATCTTGGAAGAAGGTATCAATGCTTCAGATGAGAACACAGACATAAAACCAAAGCAAAAGAGAGCTTGTTAGATGGACTCAAACAGCACAAAAGTAAATATTCCCTTCCCCCAACTTTCTATTTTTTCTTTCTATTGTGCTTTGGGCTTTCCCCACCCCCTACCCTTCCCCCTCTGGGAACCTGATGTGAGCTGATGACAAAAAGAAAGAAGCTGAAGGTGGTGGAAGACATACACAGGGTAGAAAGTGAACAGGCTAGCAAAAACACATTGCACACCTGTAAGCTTTGACCATGCCTAATTTTTAAGACAATAAAGGGTTCATAAGGAATGAAGAGCTAAAGATAGCTGTAGAACAGCCCACATTAGTGTCTCCCTGTAAATGAAGGAGCCCATCTAAATGGCTTGGAAATGGCACAGAAAGGCACATAACTATGACAAAAGAAGAAATGCCCCTGGAATATTACTGCCATATCTGTAGCTCTTACTGAACAATTTCTAACTCAGTCTCAACAGATATTTAACAAAGACCTTACAAACAAAATAAACACTAAGGCAAAAAAAAACCCCAAATCAAAACATAGGAAAAAAAAAACCCTCTAAACAAAACCAAACCAAACTAAAAAAAACCCCAACCCTCCTCAAAAAACAATCTCACGGGCTTTTCTAATGTTGTATTCCTCTTCTAAGTCTGTAATACTAAAGAATTTGAAGGAGCCACAATACTTAGCCTTCTTGTAACTGTAATGCTTGGTGCTTGTTGCTGTAGGCAACATACTTATCAGGAAAGAAATCTCAGTCTGGCATACTGTCTCCAGTAAAGCCCTGTATCAATGCTGGCTTACTGAAACTACTGTTCTGATTTGTACCTCATCACTTCTCCTAAATTAAACATTACACCAGTAGCATGAGAACTGTTCTTAGTAGCAGGCTCAGTGCCCAAGTTTGCCCTGCCTTCTGCCTTAAGGCTGTAAATTAAGCACAAGCACAGGATAATTTTCAAATAGGTTGGGAAGATGCATGCCAGAGAAGAACATCTTCGAGGAGAAAAAATTATTCAACTTACCAATGCTTATGTTGTTTTCATCACTGTATTGTTCCAAAAATCCTCATTATAGTTGCTCACTGTGCACAGTCTAAGGCACTCACAGTAATTCTTGGGATCTGTGCACATTTCTTCTGGTTTCCCATTGTTCTCTTCTTTACTAAGGCCTTGGAAGTTTCTTGATTACCATTCACAGAAAAACAGAGGACTACAGTAACACTTCTATGGAAGACTCAATCAAGATCTTCACAGAAAGAGAAAAATAGCATTTCCATATTTCTTGTTCTGGAGCATCAAGCAACAGTAGGTTTGCTTTCTCAGCACTGCTTACTGTCCCTCTTGTAGCTATTTTATCACTCAACCTCTTCAGCATCTGCACAATAACTCTTATTCTACTGTTACTTATGGCTGTATTTATAGTGGTTCTTCTCCTGTAGATGAGAAAGCCCAGTGTTTGTCTTTCCCAAGAGAATATGGCTTTGACACAACCATCTCTCAAATCTAAATAAATGTACATGGACCAGAAGAAGCTAAGATCTTTTCAACGAACTTCCCTGACAGCCTAATTTTAGAATGTGGAATAGATCACTACTCTGGAGAATCCTTCTGAGATGCTGCATCAACAGAGAAGAGGAATGGTGATGTGACTGTATGACTCAAGTGATGAAATGGTAACTTAAAGCCTGTGTACAAGGTATTGCTTTGCAAAGAGGAGTTTGAACTCTGTTGGCCTACAATCAACATGTGCATGGGTGCATGCAAACCTGAGAGAACAAGATCAAGATTTGCAAACAAGATTCTGCTCTAAAATGGGCTAAAAACTCTGAGTAAAACTCAGGTTTGCTTAGAAAACACTGAACATTCCACTCTCTATATGGAAAGATACATTCTAGCACCATCAACTTTGAAGACTGTGCTAAACCCTAACTTCGTTTTCCTATTGCAAGCTCTTGATAAAATGCAGTCCACACAAAAACCTAACTTTGCCCTGTCAAAAATGTGAACAAGCACTGTATAATCCAAACACTGTGGTTCTGTACAGATAAAACCAACACACCCAAAGAATAGCACACTAACACCTTTTATTTTGGCAGCAGTAGTTTCTCTTCAGAGCACAACTGAGACCAGCAATGGTTACATTAGAGAAAGGTTTTACAAGAACATTTAATTTACCTCATTCAGGTTAACAGACCAAGATTGACTCTAATGAAAGGGTCAGAGGCTTCCACAAAAAAGAACTGAAAATCATCAACAGGAATCTTAACACATTCTTTCATGACAAATACATTTGGAGAATGCCCTTCATGGGCAACATGACTCAAGCCAAAAACTGCTTTGCTATATTGTCTTGTTAGAGTTAGAAAGCACAATCACCTTTCTCAAACATTGCTAAGGCCACAGAAGGGAGGACTTTGTGACAGGAAGGTGCTAATTCCAGGCCTGACAGAGGCAAGATCTGGTTGGCACATCCTGGTTATCACACTCCCTCTGTGACAGACTGTGACAAGAATCACCTGCTTATATGCATATCACCAGTCAAAGAAGTATCATCCCAAGTTATGGGAAGGTGGCATCTGTGGCCACCAATGGTCACCAAAGTTCCCCCAAATATACCTCCATGGACACCTGGAACCTGGACTGCATAAAGGCAGAACTGCTTTCCAAGTGTTAGGACCTAGGTGGAGGTTAAGAAAGCTTAGGAAGAATGATGTATTACTGATAGTGGATACAAAGAATGCAGAATTTAGGAGCCATAAGAACATTTGGCAGAAGATATGGAAGAAATTATTAGAACAATCTCAGCAATTCCGATGAAATCAGTTCCAGCTGGGTAAAAGGTAATTCCACAGGGGTATCACCAACCTAAGAAACCCACTATCCCAAAAGAAGAGAAAGGCTAAACAAGCAGACTAATTAGCATAAGATGCATTGAACCAATAGAAGATGGAATACCAATTAATAAAAGAACTGTATCACTTGCTGCCAATTAGCAATAATTCCTTTGTTTCTAAAATGTATAAATACTGAAAAGATTTGATTGTAAGCAGCATACCTTGTGGAGGCAGCACTGCTTTCAGCACAGAACTTACTAACAGATGAACAAACCAGGACCTGTGCCACAACACCAAGCCCAGGGTGAAGAAGGCCCAAGAAGACACCACTGGATCCATGGGTGGTGACCAGCTTCTGCTTCCACACTTTCTCCCTGCTTTTCCCTCTCTCCCTCTCCCTCTGTCTTTTCTTTCCCATGCAGTCAATGTTACAAAATAAAGTCAGTACTGTTGAACCAGCATTTGGTCTTGTCACCTTAATTTGGGCAGAGGCATCTCTCACTAATCAGATCATAACATCACTATTAGATAAAATGTAAAGATTTTATCAGCTGTGTTAACACTTACCAAGTATAGGGTTATACAAGCTGGTCTCCTTACAGATGTTTGGGAAAATAGAAGGTAAGTAGTATTTCTTAAAATTTGCGAATAAAAATGAAAATCCCTTTTCCTGGTTTTCCTTGTTCTTCCATTCTAAACTCTTAACCTTAAAACAAGAATTTTGACAAAGTAAATATCTACAAGTAAAAGACAGGTAACTCATGAAATGTCCACATTTTAAGTTATTTCTCTGAAACAAAATCATATATATTTTAATAAACTGTTTTAAAAAGATGAAACAGAAACTAGCTGGGAAATGTCAACAAAACAAAGACCATCCTCTTCCAAAATATTGGTTCAAAATGAACTTGAACACATAAAATACTGAAACCAACAGAAATACACTTGCTTTTGCAGTCATCTTGCCAAAGCAGGGAACATGCCCAAATTGACTGTTTTTAATTAAACTGTTTTTATATTTCAAAATGTTTAATAAAAAATAACTACCCGTGCCATTCAAAAGATTTCTTTGACAAATTCTTTTTAGACATTTTGACTAACACGTGTCCATATAGTCATTATAATAGGTACTTGGATTCATTTGTCTAATTGGCAACATCAAACAAAAAAATTTTTCAACCACAAGCAGCAGAAGATACAACTTTGAAGTTGAGTTACACAAATGTACTTGGATCGTGAGTGCTAAGCATTCCCCTTTATGAAATGTTTTCCTACATGGTAAGTAGTACCAAGCATGGTACGTGCTCCTCAAGAAATACAATATGCAGTTTCCATCTTTGTTCCTGAGAATCCATCTGACTGCAGAGCTAGGTAATCTACCAAGTCTATCATAAATAATATAAAGGAAGACTTAATTTTCTTTTTTTTTTTTTTTCCTCTCTCCTCTACTTCTCCATTTTTTATTCAAAGGCCACAGTTCTATTATGATCTGTTTTCAGGGCAACAGGTGTCTAGAGTGGAATATATATGCACATATTTCACCCCCAATATAACTCAACATATTAGCTGATATATATGTAACTTAGTGACACAAAGTCCTTTATCATAACTTAGTGTCAAAGAACCTTGCAATTATCAGTGGCCTCTAAAGGGACTTCAGAGAACTACTTCAGCGCTCACATAGTAAATAAGCTCTATGACACCTGTCTCAATGACCTATTGGAATTTAGAAATAATACTACCAATTTATCACAGAAAAGGCAGCTGTCTTCAAAAATATAAGGGCTATTTTTCTTCAAAGTAAATAGCCAGCATTAAGCTTAACCTACAGATCACAAGTATGAAGATCTCTATTCAAAGTGGGAGATGCTGGAAGCAATAAAATGAGGCTGGAAATTATTCCAGCATGGCAAGTGCTCAGAGAAAGATGGATAAAGGGAAGCTATGAAATATGGCTTTAATACATGTTATGGTCTAACATATTGTCCATCTTCTCTAGTAAAACCTGCCTAAGTGTGAAGAAATACTTATTGGTACCCAGCTGGGTTCTGAGGGACAAGTCTGGCCCAGAAGGCAGGACCCAGCAACACCTACCATGTCATGCAGCACATGACAGCTCAGTAGGTTCAGAAGCAGCATGTGCTAATTGGCCAGCAAATCAATTACATGATGTGTAACAGCTGAGCCACAGTTTCTCACAGAAGCTGTTGCTATGCCCCATACTGGCTGAGATCATGGAATTGTCAAAGAGAACATGGTGTGTCCGACTTGCACACCATGGACTAAATACTCATTCAACTCTTCATTTTCTGCACACAGTTGATCCACTGGTTGAAGACAACCAGATAGGGAAGGGAAGATGAATGAGAAGGGAGCTGAAATCAGTACTGCTAGAAGTGACTGAGAAGTCTTGTTTTGCCTCCATGCCACAATCTGATGGAAGATCCTGTCAAAAAAGATCTAGGAATCTTCCCACAGAAAACAAGGGAACATTTTTCTAGAAGAATTTGCTTTTTATAAAAAAGGGAGTGGCAAGGAAGGATTCTTCGAAACATCTTTATATGCATTTGCAGTGCTACAAGTAAAAAACTTACTGTAAAGGACAAAGAGGTGTTAATTGTTTAACACTTGTTTGCTTCAAAACTACAGAACGTACCTGAATTACCATGTATTTCAAAAGTGCTTCTAAAAAATAGCTTGTTAAATCTTCTTGTCCTTTATCTCCTGATTGTGGAGGAACAAGTGGAGTGATTTCTTCTATAGTCACTTGAGCTATTTAAAGAAAAATAGAAGTACATCTAACATTTAGACCATTTCTTCTCATGCGTAAACATCTACAAAGTTATGAAAGTAGAAATGCACTGCAGCAGCAGAGACAATTACAGGTACAACAATTCACCCATAGATTAATGAAAATCAGGAAATTTTAACTTCTAAACCACCATGGAACTAATTTCTTACACATATAAAAAGCACAATAGACAATAAGTAGGTCATCTCTATGCACTTTTGAAACCTACCTGCCAAACCCAAATTTTTTAAAATTTTGTTTGGAATTTATGCAAACAATAGTGTAACACTTATGCCACACAAATGCCAAATCTTTATATCTTTCACCATTTTCCCATTTAGCAGTTCATCAGTTACATTTCCTTTAAGTTTTACTATCTGTATCCTTCTTTGCCTCGATAGTGAAGCTAGTTCAGAGATGATTTTTCTTCTGTTCCTGTAGTTAGATGTTCACATTTCAATCTTTGCACTCTGAATTTCTTTGCACTCTGAATTTCACAAGATAACTCCAAAAAGGGCTTAAGTAGGTAGCAAAATTTTTGCAGAGCTATCCTGACATGAAATTCATCTGCTGTGTTCCAGCAAATTTAATTACTAGTCATGAAGAAACTGCTTTCCTCTAGAAGCAATAAAATACTGAAATACTAAGAGAAGATGGAAAGAAGGCAAAGCACAACATTCAGGGGAAAAAGTGTTCAAGTTTTTAGTCCCATTTATCTGAATGCACAGTTTGCACTTACATTCAAAGACCCCATCCAATTGCAAATCACTAATAAACGAGCTTCAAATCCCACTATCAAGAATAAATTGAGTTAGGAGGCACTCAATACTAGAGTGTACAAAGGAAAAACTGTCCTAAGAATCATCTTAAGAGAAAAATCATCCTCACTCTATTGATTAGTGTCAAGATAATGACCTTACCATTAAAAACAAACAATCAAACAAAACCCCAGAAAGTATAAAAACCTCATCTCAGAATGCTCAAGCTTTTCCACTCATGCAAACCTTTAAGACTTCAAGTTTTGCAATTTACAAGGTCTGTTTCTTTTTTAAGATTCCAAGTTGCAAGAATACCACAACTTTAATTACCTGGTCATACACAGACCCATTTGTCCTTACACCCTGGCCTAACAACCTCTCATTCTATTGAAGGCCACACCAGAAATATCTTTGCAGAGCCTGCTCCCTGGAGGATGAACAAAGCCAGTGCAAGTGTTCGACACAAGCAGAATTCACCTGTGCAAGTTTGCAGCAGATGCAGGATCCTCTTGCAATTTTTAAGAATTACACACAATTGGTCACTTTATTTTCACCACTATGCATTAAGCTACAATAACCTACTTGGAGGGAAAAACCCAATAACCACAAAAAACAACTAATTCTGAACAACAACAAAAAAGACAGAAATTGTTACAGAAGAAGACCTGACAAACTGCTAAGAAACTCATCTCAGCTCCATTATCTCCCTGGGTATCTATGTATGTCAGCTACTTCAACTTGCCTTGTCTGTGACAAGATTTGAATTATGTCAAGAATTGAGTAATAATACCAAATTACTTACTTTCTTGGACATTAAGGGGAGGGTTAATGAGATTATCTAGTGTTCGGGGGCCATATTCAGATTGTGGTGATGAAAATCCAGGAATCAAGCAAGAAAACATCCATAATTGTTCTCTACTACAGTTATTTTGAAGTGCTTGCAGCCACAAAAGAAAGAGACGCACACCCTCTCGACGTATCTTAAAGGAAAAAACGTGGAATAAGTTATCTTGTGCCAGAACAAACAAATGCATTTCCATTTGTCCTGGAGGGAGAAGGAGAAGGGGAGAGATTAAAAAAAAAATGAGGACAGACAGTATGACCCCCAGCAATCAGCAGAGTGAAACTAACACATCTGCTGCTCCTGATGAAGTGCAAGGGCAAGCCTGGCACCTTCACTGCTGTTTGCCTCAAAGCATTTCTCACAGGGGCTTCTCTGAAAGAAGAGATAGAAAACCAACACATGGAAAACCAATCACTTGCTTGACTACACCACTGCAGGATGCCACATGAATTTTTCAGAAAATGCAAAGACCGACATAAAATTTCTAAATATGTTCATTAATTATAATAACAGAGTGAGCTCTCTGTATCAGAAGGGCCAATTCTACCTTCTTCCATTTTGCCTTCAAGAAAGGTAAGAGAGTCCTAGAGCACTCCCTTCTTGGCTCTCATACTGGAGAATTTCAGTACCAGAGAAGCCTGCAGGTGGCTTACAGAGGAGTGGTGCAGCTGTTTTGTCCCAACCATTTAAATTACTCTACACACCAGCAGGCCTCCCTGGCATAGATAATCTTCCACTTCCAAGGTAGTCTGAACCCCAAAATCAGCTTCCTTGCCCTAACAATGAACAGTTAGTAGTTATTACTATGATAATGCAAAATCCTTTAAACCACTGACTACACTATATAAACACATTACTACTGTGAGTAGTTTTACTGAGGTAAAGCTGATGATTTGGAATCATTTTTTCATGACACACAAGTCATGATGTGGTTCTCATTCCTGGGCTTTTACTGTAAACATTTGCCCTTATGTTCTTATTTGTACTTTCAAGTATTGTAGACAAAATTGCATGCAACTTTTTGCAGTACCTTTAATGAATTTCCAGTGTGAAGAAGCTTCTTTAAAATCAACCCTAAAAAAAGGAGAAAAAAAATTTGTTTGCTTTTGTTCTTTCTATATTAAATAAAATGTCAGAGTTCTCGGTCAGACTTGATAGCCACTTTTGAACAAGTCCTTGGCAATCTCCAATTTAATCTTGGTGACCTTGATACCTTCAAGCAACTGACTCAATGCCAGAAGGAAAAAAAATCAAATATCACCTTTCATAGCCTACTCATAGAATATTTTTCCCCAAAGACTTTTGAGATGTGTACATTAAAAGTAAATCAAGTCATCACAATGCATAAAATCAGCATTCTCCATTTACAAATATCTCATGTCAGTTTTTAAATGTATTGCTAAGAGAAAGAAAATAAGGAAAAAATATTTAAAACTTCAAACTTTTCACCTGTCCTTGTTCTTTCTCAGCCACTCTTCTATTTCTATATTCCCAAATATAAATCTATACAGAAGAATATTCATTACATTGGCAGGGTTTTTTGTCTGTTTCTTTTATTTTCTTTTTTATTTTCCTTCACCTAGCTTGCAAAATTCTCTAGACCATAACCCCCGTTAAGCCACTTAAACTGTAAGGAATAGTAGCCATGAATTGGTAGCTACTAATAAAAAGTAAAATGAAAGGGAGAGGAAAAGAAAATCAACTTACCAATACTATGAAATTGCCACCTCTGATGAATCCTTTCAGGAAGGAGTTGTAAAATTTTCTATAAAAAACAGAACCCAAGGATGTATGTTGCAGATATCACCTTGGAAGACCAAACGGCCCTTTCACAAGGCCACAGATCAGAAGCTGAAGCATCAACTTAGAAAATTCCCACAATGCTTTCTTTGGAAGCATTGTTGTCCTTTCAAGGTGACCCCATTCCTAATCTGAGAAGCCCAAAGGCTCTGACAGCTTGGAAGTTCTGCACTGGAGACTTCAGATGTTACTGCAGGTCCTCTGGCTCCACTACCCCTGTGAAGGACACTGCTGCTTGCAGCATAGGGAATGGAATGGGATCAGTGTCTGTCTCAGCTGCTCTGTTTCACAACAGACTGCATTAACTTATTCCACCTTTCTAATGGCTTCAGTTAGGATGTTCAGCTGTCAACTTGCCTCTGTGGCACAAGCAAACATGTGCTTCAGCCTTCTCAACTGAGGGGTGATGAGCTACAGCAAAACAGTGAAGACAAGACCTCTACAAGTACAATGATTATCTCCAGAAACAAGAAACAGAGCACAGTTAGTAATTCCAAATCTACCATGCAAGACTTGCAACATTTACACTAGAGGCTTTTGCAACTTGTAAATAACCTGATTTTTCCTGGCTGTGGCCCTCCAGCACACCGTGCAACTGCCTCCAAAGCACAGATTACCTAATATTCCTTTATGCAGGAACTAGTGAACAAATGAACTAGCTCTCTTTCACATTCACCCATGTACCTCACAGAGGTAATATGCAATCAAAAGGTCAAAAATATCATGACTAAACAGAGATCACCTTTCTATGAATTTAAATGTGTATAACACATGATGGGGAAATACCACCACCAAAGAGTAATCAACTATCTAGAGACACAGAAACATCTTTTTCCAGTTAAGACATCTTGCAAAACCGCAAGTGAAATCTTTATTTTTAAAACAAAGCACATAAATTCAGCTCTATGCAAAAGTAAGAAGGAATGCAGTTAAATGCAAAGTATTTACAGACAACTGTAGAATTATAGGACTTAAAGCAAAAAAATATTCAAAATGTCTTACCTCAAAAATAAAAAGAATAGAATCTAATTCTTCTCTCTGAGACTTGTGACCTAGTTGCAAAAATAAATAGTTGAAATAGTTAAATATAAATAGAAGATGCACTTTCATTATCAAAACAAAGATCCTTAAACGTGTAAAATGAAAACCTGCATTTATACAACCATAACTTTGCACTGCTTCTGCAAATAAAAATTATACTCCATAAATACAGCTACAATTTGCATAACCTCCTATTATGGCATCCACAACTGGGAGAGATTAGGTTACACAATATCTTGTGAGAGAATAATTCTGCAGAATACGAAGTATAACACCTTAAGAATCTTCACTTTGCAAAAGGGCAAACACAGTCATTGGAGAACAAACCCTTTTTGCTCACCTCCACTGAGTGCGTATCTCATTGCTCTGCCTTCATTTGCAAAGTTGGTTCTTAGACATATTTCTGCATGGCTAATGTTGTCATTTGTGACCACAGAGAGCTTTATTTATAGCACCCTGCTTTACTTCATAACAAAGGCACAGGCCATCGAGACAAAAAGAGTTCTGTCTGAAATACTTACCTTTTTGTTTAAGGCCCACTTCAATAGTCACAAAGTTTTCAAAGAACACATAATATATATGTGAAAAATGTAGGTCGAAAAACTGTTTGAGATCAATTGATTCTGCATTATCTGAAAAACAGAACAGAACATTGTTTATATTTATTTCAAATATTCAGGGTCAACCACTACATACCATTATCCAGCAGTAATAACTGAAGATATTTAAAAGAAAAATTATTGTTTTTTAAATAAATAACTAAATAATTAAAGAAACTATTCAAGTTTTCATTCTTTACTCTGAGGCTAATTCAGAAATTCAGTATGGCATGCCATAAGTGCCTAGTGAATTTTAGAACAGGGAAGAAGCATCTTCTTGCACACCCATTGTTGGTATGACAGTAATGCCAACAAATGCCCATCATGAACCTTAATTCCATCAGGACTAGCACTGTACAGATGAATCCGGTTTCAACTGTTAATTTAATAGAAATAAAGCTCGTGACACTGCCCAAACTCTACAACAGAAAGACCATCACAATCTCCAACTCTAATTACTAAGCACAACTAAGCTTCCTAAAGAAAGTGGAAGGAAGATGTTAAGTGAGGAACACATCCGCTCTGGAGATAGATAAACTGGGAGGATGCAAACAGCAGCACTGGATTCCCACCGATGCCTTCTTATTCTCTCCAAGTTCCAAGATGCACTTTACTTTCTAGTCTGGCTCAGTCCCTCACACTCCTTTGATTGTGTGGTCTAGGGAAATCAGAAGATGGGATCCCAAGGATACCCTGAGGCAGAAACATCACTCTAAGTATAGGGGAATGTGCTTTCATGTGGACCCCAGGAAGCTTTTCAGACTCTCTTCCCACAACCCTCTAGATGGTTTTCTGCAAATTCCTGATAAAGAAATACACAGTGATTTATCCAGATTAAAGTGATCACTTTAAATGGTCAAGCATTAGTACAAACTGTCTAGACACTCCCTGTCCTGTTATTCAACTACATACGAACTTGAGAAACTTGGTGGACAAAAAAATACCATGGAAGCACAGAGGAAGAGGAAGACAGCATTTTAAATGACAAAATGCTCCTCTTTCAGAATACCGATGTGTAGCAAACAAAAGCAAAACATGAAGGTGAGGCAAACAAAACCTTTATACCCATTGACCAGCTGTATACACTGAAACACTTTCTTTCACTGTAGATGCTTCTAAAAAGCTCCTAATTCTGTATTGGACTACAGAGTTTTTAACCCTTTTCAGAACGACATCAATCTTTATCATCTCACATGACTGGATATACAAGTGGTAGAGTATAAAGTCAGGAACAATGAACTGAAAGCATGGCGTATTTTCAGTTATGTTTTCTTATATAGCTCTAGAGGACTATTAACTCAATTTTGACACAAATTTTGCTAAAAACGTTTCCAACACAGATTTAACTTTTGCTGTAGCACAGCATTCTGCCAACATCTTGCATAATGAGTGTAGTAGAGCCAGGGTTCTCTTGGAGCAGATAGTGCTATATCAGCATCCAAGATCAACTCTTAAGGAAGGCAGCTCAGCTGGAATAAACAGTAGTCCAGAGCAGCAAGCATGTGCCTGACCATCCAAAGGCTTACCAAACCCCGGGATTGCAGAAATTGCCACACCACCTACAGATCAGAAATTGCCACACCACCTGCAGATCAGTAGCTGAACATTAGAAATGCAAATGTTAAAGGACAACAAAAGCCAATTCCACTTCAAACAAGCTGAAAGATGATTTTCAGTTGATCAGGGAAATGCACACGAAATAGAGCTGCGACTAGAGCATAGGCACAACCATTACAACCACTTCCACTCATGGGCAGAGCTTTAAGTGAGTCCTAGGCTAGGGACAAGAAAATACTAGAAGAAAAATCAAGAGTTTGAGATGGAAGGATTAAAGAAAAAAAAAAGAAAGCAAGGATTGAGGCTTTCAGGAGAAAGAAGGGTGACAGAAGATATTTTGTGGTCCAAATGTTTATAGGACTGTACAGGGATTGCATGTAGACAGCAGTGGAATGGCTCACTCAAGGCAAAGGTGCAGAAAATACTAGCTCCAAATACTGAAGGGATAGGAAGCAGTTAAACAGCAGTCTTCCAATCAAAACACAGCAATGCTGCATTTTTGCAGGCATGTTAAATGCTTCGTTTCCTGAAACAGGCCCTCATTCTTTCCTCAGACATGGGTCAGCTCTGAAGCAGACCAACAGAAAAATCCCAAATGCCTAAACTGATGTATTCATTTAAACACTCCATCTTAACATAACAGTCAGTAATTTTTGGAGACACTATTCCTAAATTCTTCAGACAACAAACTGAATGCTTTTCTACATAAGCAGCTGAACGGTGATTGTCATTTTACCACATAATTGCATATGCACAACTGGTACTGTGGTAAGACATTCTGCCTTTCAGTGAAGGTGAAGTGGAATTTCAGAAGTTTGTCCTTTTTTAAATTTTTTGTTATTTTGTATTTATTTAAGAAAACTGTGTCAAACACCTCAAAAATGCTTAAAGGAGCAGTGGTAGACCTGTATTATTACCACTAACACCCAATTAACATTAAAAATATACGTTCAAAATACAGTTAGAGCTTGCAAGAGTAGGAGGAGAGTAAAAAATTCCTTGACTTTGCAATTCCTATAGCAAATGCATTTCACTCTGATTCCTTTCTAAGATCACACTTGATAGCAAAATCAAAGGCAAGTTTTTAAAATTGAAACTATTTAACAACAACTGTATTCTGTAGTAAATACTATTGCTTCAGATGGAAGAAAATATTACATTTTATTCAATGGGAATTTTATTATTTTATTAATTGAAAATAATACTTTTTTAAAAACCCACTGACTCCTTTTGTTAATGCTGAAAACCAGCTTTCATCCTAAGGGAGGGAAAACAGTTGTTCATCTGACAGGCTTGCCACCTACAGCAAAAGGGAACATCTGTTCATCATCAAAGGACACCTACAGTGATTCAGTATGCTGCTGGTACAGAAATTTGGAACCTTGCATTTGTTGAGAAGTTTGAAATTCATTATTAATACCCTGACATGAATTATGGCAAGAAGGAAGAGGGCAAAAAATAGCAGATACAGCATGAAGATAATTACATAGACCTTAAGAGGGCTTCATCTGGCCACATCACTCCATTTCACAGCTTTGTCTATACTGAACACAATCCACACAACTAATGCATGGAGTGAATACTGCTCTCCTTGATTACTGTACATTAAACTTCCAGTTATATGCTGCTGTTCTACCTTCCTTCCTTAATTAAGGATTTCCTAATGTCTCTAAAATATTCAGTTTACCTCTGTCCTTGCTATCAGCTAAACAAACAGCTCCTCAATTCTCATGTCATAACCATTTTCTCCAACACCATCTCACCGTCTCTTCTCTATGCTCAAAGTATCATGCATGTTGCATAGAGGTAAAAGTCATTTCCTCTACAAGCAGCATATCCTTTTCAGACAGCCCTGAACTGAGAATTTGCAGGAAGTTGCTCCTCTGCTTTGGCTAATTAAGTATTTTGTCTTTTTAAGAAGAGAGACATAGCCTTTTTTTTAATGTGAAGTGGGATTAAAGAGAAACAGGCTTTCCTCTACAACTTCCAGTGCATTCCTTCTTTTTAATTTTAAACAAACTGACTTTATATTCTTCTACCAGAGATCATGTAACTAACACAAACTAATGTACTCCTTGTGTTCTTGCTTCTATGTCCAGACTGGGAGGAGGGAAGGACTCAGAAATAGACCTGGCACCATTTGATGTAGTTGGAAGAGTTCCTCAGAATTTGAAAGGGAAAAATGGGATACTACTGTATTCCAAAGAGAGGTAAAAACTGAAGTTTCTACTGTACAAAGCATAGGTTCAGTACACTAAAATCCAGTTTTTCAGCAGTTCATGAAAGCTGTTTGTCAAGAAAATGCAGTTTTCTTCATGCTTTACAACAGCAAGAAACATGGATCTTTGTTGTTTTTTCCTTAATATTTTTCTCTAATTTAAAAACTGGTACAAATCTGATCTCCATACTAACTCTGTGTTCAAGGGTGCTTTTTTTTGTTTTGTTTTGGCAGGGTTTGTTTTAAGTTTGATATTTTAATTGTTTACCTTTAAAGTTGTGTCCTTTGCAGAAAAGTACTAGCTTACTTGCTTTACAATATTTTAATTTCACACAGTATTGTGTCTCTTTGTGCTTATGTGTCATTTTCTCCCTAAAACAAAACAAACCCTGCCAAAACAGATTTTAGACATATATTTAAACTGTTCTGAAAAGAACTTTCATCAGTTCACACTGCATTGCAGAAATGAAAGAAAACAGTCTGTATCATTACAGATTAAGTTGTGGTTAATTTTATGTTCTATTTTACGAGTTTTAGAATGTAATACTATGTTTATATGTAAAATTGTCAGAGCACTTAGTATAGTAAAAACATTATCCTGTCTAATTCCAAGAGTTGCTGGCTTTTAAGTCACTTTCCCTCACCCTTACCAAAACCCAAACTGACAACTGCAGCAAACAATGACCTGGAAGATGTCCAGAATTCAGGATCTATTTCTGTAAAGCAGAGGCCTGCTATGGACTGACACGGTCAGTATCAACTCCTGTAACAAACTGGTGCCACCAAAAGCAAAGGTTTCCATGTTCTCAATGGATAATTAAACTTATTAATTCTTAATTCTCCACGCTGAAATATTTAAGGGTTTCTTTAAAGCAAAACAGGAGAGAGATTTGGTTACATAGGGACTGTCCCGAATAGAAAAGCATGTAACTGAGAAAGGTTAAGTGGAAAACCTCGGGAGCTAACTGGTGGCTCTGGCATAGTTAACAAACTGTCAAAGTGAAAGAGCACTGATAACAGACCACAAAAGCAAATCCATTACACAAAGGCTTTACATTAGCCCTTACTGTTTCAGATCTAACCAACAGCTATTTAGCAAAACCATTTTTTTAAAAAAGGTAATTTTGTCAAAGGAAATATTCTTGAAGGTTTTGGTACTGAAAAAGGAATATAACTTAAAGAAATCTTCTAATGGACTTCTATTTTGCATCAGACAAATCTGAAGTCCTGATCACAATCTTTTAGATACAAATGAAAA